TGGCTGTGCCTCTGCATGCTATGGGGCTAGGGGGCTGCAGGCTTGGATCTTGCCTCTGCCAGTGGCGCCGAGGGCTGCCACACCGAGCTGCAGCTATGTAGCCAGGAAGGCTCTGGGCTGGCACTGCAGTGTTATTCCTGACCAGGTTGTCCACACTGATGGGGGGCTGGGACCCTGAGGCCAGAGAGGAAGGCCAGGTCCTGCACCATAGTGCCACTCCTGGGTGTCAGGTCTGCCTGCTCTGGGCAGTGATGTGGGTCTGACAGGTGCAGGCTCTGCCCTGTCCCACCAGGAACAGGGCTTCCAAGGCCCCTTCTCAGCCTGGAAGTATCCATGGCCAGGTTGGGCAATGAGGAGGAGGTAGCCATGGTCACCCTGGGATGCCACCCTTCTTGAATGAGGTAGGTTCTCAGAAGCCACACTGGGGGTGCTGTTGCTCCTGGCAACACTCCACGTTGTTTCCCTGGCCAGGGGTCAAGCTGAGCAGTCCAGGGCTGAGGCTGTGCTGTCTCCTGGCCTCTGGTTCCTGTCCTAAACCTCAGGCTGTGCTTACCTGGTACAGCCAGGGCAAGGGGTGGGCAGGGCCCAGGAGTGGCAAAAGGGTGGAACTGGTGGAGCCCCCAGCCTCCACGTGCCCAAGCAGTTGTGTGCCTACCCCCACCCAAGGCTGCAGCAGGAAAGCCTTCTCTCTCTCTGCCTAGACATGCTCATCTGTGCTGGGCTAATTGTTGCCTCTTCCAGGAAGCCCCTGGATTGCTGGGCTGACCCAACTCTTCCTGACTCTGACCCTCTCTGTCTTTCCTCCTATGACTTCCTTTCAGAAGGCCTTTGTGTTTGGGGTTCAGCTGGGGCTGACTGCCCAGGGCATGGGGGAGGTGTAGGTGTAAGCAGGAAAGAGCCTGACCCCGGCAGCCAGGTGGGACACTGACCACCTGCGGGTCTCTGCCACCTAGTCCAGGAGTGAAAGCCAAGCTCTCCTCAGTCGCTTCCACACCCTGCACTCGAGGACAATCGGAAAAGCAGAGGATGCCACCCATCTCTGCCTGTCCACCCATCCATCTGTGTCTGAGAGCCACCCAGAGCCAGTGTGTCCTAGGGCCCTGGGACACAGGAGGTCACACGTGAGCAGAGCAGGGATTCACCCAGTGTTTGCAGACACAAGGCAAGCTCTGCTGTGGCCATATGGCCTCAGGTAGTGGGGAGTCAGGAGGGCTTCCTGGAGGAAGGCCCACCCAATGGAGACCAGGAGCAGCTCCTAACGAGAAGGAGTGCAGGAAAGGGGCTCCTGCCGAGAACCGCAGCAGCAGAACCGGCGGGTCTGGGGGTAAGATGGACAGGTGGCAGGGAGCAACTACTAGGAGGGAAGGAACCCCCCATTTTTTTGGTGTTGGGGTTTGAACCCAGGGGTGCCTTACCACTGAGCTACCCCAGCCCTTTTTTAATACTTATTTTTAGGTGTAGTTGGACACAATACCTTTATTTATTTTCATGTGGTGCTGAGGATGGAACCCATGGCCCCACACGTGCCAGGCCAGCGCTCTACCACTGAGCCCCAGCCCCCGCCCCCCTTCTTATTCTGAGACAGGGTCTCCCTGAGTTGCCCAGGCTGGCTGGTAAGGTGCAATCTGCCCAGCCCCCTGGGCAGCTGGGACTACAGGTGTGCGCCACCTTGCCTGGCTCCACATTTTGGGCAGCTCCAGTGGGAAGGGGTGAGGCTGGGTCTGGGAACTGCCCAGGTGTTGGGGGCTGAGCCTCGAGGGGGCTTGGCCTGGACAGAGCCTTAGCTAGAGGCGCAGTTAGGACGCCCCACTCCCTGACCGCTGCCCCGAGGGCGGCTTGGTCTTGAGGGGTGTCTGCCCTGCTGGCCCGTCTCTACCTCCATGTTCCCTTTGTTTTCTTTTTTTGGAAGCCGTGGCCAGGGAGCAGGGCCTGCCTTGCTGGGGTGAATATTTAATAGTCAGAGCAGTTTCTCAAGTGGAAAATTGGAACGGGGCCCAGGAGGCCTGAGGCGGGAAGCTGCACTCCCCTCCCGGCACCCCAGACACGCCCGAAACACTCCCAGACACCCCGCCCCCGCTGCCAGGCTCCTGTCCCCCATGGGTGTGCTTCTGAAGTCGGGTGGTAAATAGAGAGCTTCTGGCTGGATTCCTTCTTGCCTGAGGCCTTGCTCCGTGGTTGAGGTGGATGGTGGAGCTGGAGTTGACCGCTACTGGACAGGAGTTTGGGAAGGGATGCATCACTGAACATGGGGTTCTGGAAGGACAGCAGGACAGAAAGGCAGTCAGGGTGCCAGGGACACACAGCGGACAAGGCAAATGAGGGGCCTCCCGAGGCCTGGGCCTCCCTTCCTTTTAGCACAGGGAGGCAGCGGTCAGTGCTGGGCCTGTCTGCAGTCACCGGCAGCCAAGTGTCAGCTGAGTCAAGGCCTCTGTGTCTGCAGCTCAAGCCCTGGTCCTCCCCTGCTCTAGTGGAGTCAGAGCAAGGCTAGCCTCTCCTTGCCTGCTGGACCCCCTGACCTGTCCTTGCTTTCTGAGAGCTGGACCCTCTGTGCGCAAGGAAGAATGAGGCCTCCTACAGGGCACCTGGAGACAGGACCGCTGTGGTGACTTCCTCCCCGCCCAGCCTTGCTCCTGGTGCAGCAGCACCGACAGCTCTGACACATCCCCTGGGAATGCTCTGCTCCTGCCGTGGCATCCATGTCAGCTGATTCACCAGGAGCTGCCCACCCCCTCCCTGCCTGCCCCCTGCCAATGCCAGTTCCCATGGTGACGCTAAACTGGGCTGTGGGTCCCGGTGGCTTTGAGCTAGGTCTGCCTGTGCAAGTGGGCGCCAGGACACATCTAGGTCCCAGGGTCTGTGGCGTGGCTCAGCAGTTACCTGTGGCTCTTCTACAGACTTAGCCTGGCCACATGGAACAGGGGTCCAGCAGTGGGGTTCCTGGGAACTGAGGCAGGAGGGCAAGGTCTCCGGGGCTGTCAGGTAAGCTTGCTGTGGAAATGCACACTGACCAGGGGCCGGGGGTGGGGTTGGCAGCTGTGCCTCCGTTCCCCTCCCCTCAGGGGACAGTGGTCCTGAGCGCAGAGCCATGGTTCCCAGCCTGACTTTAGCCTTTCTGCAAACCTGCTGCCCCTGCCGGCATCGGCTACTCACCAGCTTGGGCCCAGGGCTGCAGAGCAGGCCATCTCGTTTCTGAGCAGGGAGGGTGCCCCAGGCAGAGCAAATGGCTCATGCCTGAGCTTGGGGACTGCAGAAGGCCTGGAGTGGGGTACCGTCAGTGCCTTACGGCAGAGCTTGAGTTGGTGAGGGCTGTGCCAGGAGGGGAGGTCATGGCCTCTGGGCCACCCAGCAGTGAGTGGCTTTGCAGGGCCCTTCCTCCAGCTGCTGTGAAGTGGGCATGTCCCAGCTGGGACCCCAACAACCATGTGATAGCCCAGGACCCCAGGCAAGTTGGCTGGGAGTCAGGAGGCCCCGTGCAGCTGCTGGGGTGGGTGGCTAGGTTGGTCAGCACACACAGGCTCAAGGGGACAGTGGCAGCCCATGCTGCTCGGGGCCAGCATTCCTCACCAGCTGGGCCAGCAGCTGGGCTCCCTCTGACCAGCCTGCATTGCCTGGCGTGCCCTGGGCAAAGAGCTGGCTGCCTGGTGGGGCAGTAAACAAAGTCCCCAGGTGAGAGCTGGGAGTGGGGCACAGGAGTGGCTGCCAGCCGGCTGTGGCAGTGTGAATAGAGTCATCTCCTTCTGTGACTGTTAGTCTTACATCAGGGCCTGGGGGGTGCCTGGTGCCGCCCTTGCCTTCCAGGACTGGGGTGTCCCTGGGTCTCTCATCCCATTTCCCTCTGCCTTCTCCTTACTTTAGAGCCCTCCGACTCACCTGGGGCCCTTCTCTTGCTGTTCCTCACCTCAGGGTGCCTCTGGCTCCCAAGTCCCAGTAGAAGTTCTGGCTCCCTCAGCTGCTCCAGGAAGCCCCCTCTCTGGGCCACCATGCTGGGCAGGGCTGTGGGTGCAGGCCATTCTGTGCTGACCCCCCCCGGGGATGGCGGGACCCCTCCCAGCCCTGGCACCTTGGGCTCGGCTCCTCTGCTGTGAGGGCCTGCTCCAGCCTGCCCATGGGAGCAGGTACCCACTTCCAGCTGGGCCCTGCCCACTGGGCTTAGGGCACAGGGCGTGGCAGCCCTGGGATCCCTGCATATCTGCAGCCAACACAGCTGCTCTGTCCTGCCCAGGCTTGCTGGATGCCCAGAGGCACGAGCTGGGTGCTGAACCCTGAGGAAAAAGGGGGAGGTGGCAGGAAGGGGCAGGCCAGGCAGCTGAGCTCTGGGTGGTGGGTGATTGGGGTCACTGGACTCAGGAAGAGTGTTTCTCGGCCACCATTCGAACGGGAAAGGGTGTGGTTTGCTAAACATGCTGGGGCCCAGCCACACCAGGCTCATGGGTGCCCTGGAGCTTTGACGGCCAGGAGCTGTCAAGTCAGGGCCCAAGAACTGGAAGGGTATTTTGGGCCAGGCTGCCCTCACGGGTGGCAGCAGCCACAGCCACTTCTCCAAGGGCCCAGCTTGGCCACCCTGGGGTCTCCGGCCTGCGCTTGGAAGGTACCTCCCTGCCCCGTCGCTTCGTGCCCAGCCAGGCCAGCTCTGAGCAGAGTCTCCCTGAGGAAACTGAGGCAGGGCTGTCTCACAGCAGTCGTCCGCACAGCAGGGACGCACACGCTGGGCCGCAGCGGTGACTCAGGAGGGCGTTTCCCCTCCGAGTCAGCTGCCTGGGCTGGGGGCACTCAGGGTGGGGCCCCCGGCTCCCCAAGCTGAGCTGGGGAGGCTGGCCTAGCTCCTGGCCTGTGCGGGACCCGCCCAGCCCCTGCCTGAGGAGGAGGCCAGGAGGGAGGGACAGTGGAGGAGGGCTGTGCAGGGGAGGAACCAGGCGAGGCAGTCAGGGAGGCAGCCAGCCCAGGAATCTCTTCTGGGCCAGTTGGGAGAGCGTCTGGGGCCTGGCCTCCTCCGTGAGGCTGCTCCCTGCCCTGGGCAGCCTGTCCCCTTTCAATTTCAGCCCTGCGGCACCTGCCCCCTCACCACTCAGCAGGTCAGTGGGGGCCAGATGGGCTGCCGGCAAGGGGGGATGCAGGGGCAGAGCTGGCCTGGGCATCTCCCTGATGCCCTGTTCTGTCCCCGAACCCACTTCTGGCTAATGTTGGGGGCAGGGCTGTCGGTTCACAACAGCTCCTGCTAGCTGGTGCCAGGGCCAGTCAGGCTGGGCAGCCTGTCGGCAAGGGGCTATCTCAACTCCAAGTGGCCTCAAAACCAAGAGGCCCTGCAGCTCCCAGTTCCTGGACCAGTCTCTGGCCACCACACCCCAGGGTGTGCAAGGTGTACACAGGGCTCAGGAGGAGACCCTGGCCCTGGCCAGTCGGGGGCGGTGCCTCTCGTTTGAAGGGAGCCTTGGCTAGGGGTATGTTGATGCCAGGGCACTGGCATGGCCATTTGGCAGCAGGACAGATTCCCAGGGCCAGCTGCATGTCCTGGGACGGTTCTAGGGCAGTAGTCGCTGACCTTGTCTGGCATAAGGGACCTGGGTTGTGGAGGTGGCTCAGCAAGGCCTGCTTTGCTTTCCTGGAGCTGCCAAGGTGGACTCTTGGGCCTCAGGTGGGGGCAGCCCCTCTTGGTCACAGTGTCCTGGCATCTAGGGTTCTGGCCTTTCTACCCAGACTCAGTTGACGTCGGGGATGGGTGGGCATGGGAGGTGCACTGCTGGCTGCTGGATCCTGGGCTCACCTGCTGCCCTCTGGCCCCGGGACTAATCCCGCTAAAGCTGGGCAGGGCTTAGTCCTCGCCAGGGGTTTTGACCAGCTCCTTCCCTTTCCCTGCCCAGTGCACACCTCACACTAGCATTTATTATGCCCCGACTATGTGCCAGGCTCTGAGTGCTTGGTGAGTATGGTGCTCTGAAGACCAGAACTAAGGAGTGTCCAGAATCAATGGCAGAGTGTCACCTTGTGAGTTCACTGAGTGAGGACACAGCATGTGAAGTCCAGAGGCAGGAGGGGGCGGGGCCCCAGGTGGAAGCAGAGAGGGATTTTAGATGGATGGCAGCAGGAACTACAGAGATTGTTCTGGGAGAGGGTGATGTGAACACCCGGTGGGCCAGGAGCCCTGGCCCCAGGGCTGCTGAGGCTGGTTCCCCACTCGGCCTCCAGCGCCTGGCTCTGTCTCCACATTCACCATAATCTCCAGAAACATCAGGGGTGGGGGCAGGCCCCTGACTGCCTGGGGTGTTGCTCATAAGGTCAGAGGGTCTCGTGACAGTCAGCCGAGCTTGGCAGTTTCCCTGAAGTCCAGGATGTGGTGAGGCAGAGCTGCAGGGGCGAGTCCTGTGGGCGCCCAGTGAGGGCAGGGCGGCGATCTCCTCTGGGTGAGCCTGCTCACTCCACTGCCAGAGCCAAATTGGGGGCTGTCCAGGGTGTTGGGCAGGGCGCTCAGCCACACATGCCTCTGTACCCACTCTCTCAAGTGGATGGAGAAAGGAGCACCTCTGCAGTGTCCTGTCCCAAGGACCCTGTTGCCCTGGTGACATGCAAACAGGCCCACCACACTGGCCCAGCCTGGAGGCCAGAGCTCACCCTGGGTGGTGGTTTGGATGCAAACTTGAGTTTTGTTTAAGTGAACGCTCCACCTATGTGGCTCTGCTGAAGAGGGCCTGCGGGCCAGGTGTTGTAGTGTCATCTGGGGTGGGATGCCCTTCTCTGCAGTCCCCACTTGTGTCCCTCCCTGTCCCCTGGGCCAGTACCTACCCTCTCCCAGCCCACTGCTCAGGCCCACCCGGAGATATTCCAGTCACTGGAATCAGCTTTTCTGGGCCGGGGGCTCCCCTGGGGCTCAGGAGTGTGAGGGGCTGAGCTGGGTCTCCTCCCAGCTGGGGTCACACCTGCAGGAGTGTGAGGCCCTTTAGAGGAGCTGGGGGACTCCCAGGAAGAGGCACTGTGGAGGCCACAGACAGCAGCACCCAGGAAAGCTGGGCCCAGCCCAGGCGGGTCCCCTCCATAGCCTCCTGTGGAAAGTGGGGCTCTGTGACTGCCAGCCACAGTGTCACTGTCCCAGCCACAGTGCTCTCTGATGGGCTGTTTGCAGAGCTTCTGGTGGCAGGTGGGTGGGATGCCTGTCCTGTGCTCTGGGGCCTGAGGCCATGCAGCTGGTGGAGGTGGGGACACAGGGTCTTCCTCTCCCAGGCAGGCAGGGCGCTGGACAGTCCTCCTGCAGCAGGCAGGATTTCCCCCTTCCTGTTTGTGCGTCCCAGGGCCAGGCCCACGGCAGCTCCTGGGCACTTGGGCCCCTGGCTCCTGGCTGCGCCGCCTCCTGGCCTCTGCTGGTGGTGCTTACCAGGGTGGCTAGGAGGGAAGACTGGCTACGCGTGGGCCTTCCTGAGGCTGGCAGTGGGCCAGGCCCCCAGGCCAGCTGGGCAGGGCTGGTTGGGCCTCTTCCTTCCCTCCTCCCCCTCCCGGGTTCCCAGCGCAGGGTGTGTCCTGCTCCCAGTTGTCAACACCTTTCCTCACGGCCCACCGCCCACAAGACGCCCCTGAGCAGATTTAGGTGCAGCTTCCCAGGGCCAGGGGTGGGTCCCTGCCTGACCATGAGGGGCCTCACGCGGGGCCCAGGACCCTCTAGCACCCGTGGGTCTGGGCTCCCTGCCTGGAGGTCCTCTTTTCCAAGGAGCTGCCTTGCAGACCCCTGTCCTGTCAGCCACCCACCACCCCGTGCGAGATGGAGCCTCTCATTGGCTCTGTTTTGTCTGACCAGAAGGCAGCCAGGAGACTCAGAGGCAGAGGGGGTGGCTGGGTCTCTGGGTGTCCTGAGGAGCTTCTCAGGCCAGCCCCCTCCCAGCCCAGGGACCTCAGGCCCACCCAAGACTAGGGGAGTTGCGATGGGCCAGGTGGCCCAGGGAGGCCCAGAGCGGCAGTACCTAAAGGTGACCTGGGCAGTCAGTGGCCAGCATGGGGTGTGATGGGCTCCCACCATGGTGAGTCCCAGCTTCTGCCCTGCACTGAGCCTCCCTCAGCCTCAGTTTCCTCACATGTCACACACCAGGCATCAGCCTAACAGCCTGGGGAAGGACCATTTGCTCTGGGACAGCACAACGGGAGCCTAGCTCCTGAGGCTAAGGCTGCCCAGCTGTTGTCCAGCTGCCAGAAAGGGGAGCTGCTCAGAAACCCAGAGCCCCCCACCATACCTGCCCTGTCCTGCAGTCCTGGCCTGTGGCTGTGGCTCAGATGGGTCCTCTGGGGAACTCTGCAGGAATGGGGTGAGGGGCAAAGTGGGGCGCAGGCAGCTGTTTGGGAGGCAGTGACGGGGCATCAAGTATTCCAGTGGGAGCATCAGGGGACCCTGGGGGTGGCAGACTGGTGCCTGCCAGTCAAGGCAAATGAGATGGCCCTGGGAAGAGGCCCCATCTGGCCCAGGTCAGAGCTGTGCAGGAGAAGACTGCCCCCCACCTGGTTAGGGAGTGAGGGTCTGCGGGGGGACCCAGGGGGAGTGCCAGGAGTCTTGGGGACTTGAGTGGACCCCCTTGCCCAAGGTCAGACTTGCAGATGGGGAACCAGGGTTGTGGTTCTCCCATGGAGCCCTGGAGGCCAGGGGTCTGGGCCTGGCCACTGGAGCAGTGGGAAGGAGGTGGGGCAGGAAGTAGGGTGGGCCCCAGCAACTCTGGCATGACCCAGAGTATCTGCTCTGCCTTGGCCTCCTCTCCGTCTCTCCCGGGAGAGCCAGTCTCAGAGGCTGTCCCCTGCCCTCCAGAGTCACTTTGTGGAGAGACATGAAGGCCCAAGAGGAAGCAAGGTGCTGTTGGGATGCACAGGAGCAGCCCAGATGTGGGCTCTGCAGACAGGGGCATCCAGGGCCTGACACTCAGGCGGGGTAAGCAGGCTGGACCCCGGTGTCCACGAGGAAATCTGAGCTCAGGGTCACACAGCGTATTGGTCAGAGACCAGCAGCCAAACCCAGACTCCTGCCCAAAGTGGGCTTCCCCATCTCCTTGGGTCCCAAGGGTAGGGCTCCTCCCTGTGGAACAGGAAGCACGGGGTCCCAGAGGCCAGTGCTGCACCCCACAGGTCAGATTTGCTCAGGGGTCTGCTCTCCCTGATCTGCAAAGTCTGGCCCAGGGTCCTTAGGAAACTCGAGGCCCCTGGGCAGGTGGGCTGGAGAGGCACTTGTTCCTCTCATCACAGCAAGGTGCCTCAAGAAGGAGGCGGTCCCTGAACACGAGCCTGTGTGCAGTCCCACCAGCATGGTTCCTCCTTGCAATATGCACTAAAATCCAAGGGGGGTTGGGCCTGAAATTCTGTTTGTGGGAAGATTTTATTTATTTATTTTTTCTGTCTCAATAAAGCCTTATTCACAAAACCTGTCCGTGGGCCAGATTAGGCCTGTGTAGTTTACCTGATTTTATTTATGTGTGTGTGTGGGGGGGTGTGTATTTAGTTGTAGATGAACCTTTCTTTTTTAAAAAAAATACTTTTTATTGTAGTTGGACACAAGGCCTTTATTTATTTATTTATCTTTATGTGGTGCTGAGGATGAAACCCAGGGCCTCACACAGGCGAGGCAAGTGCTCACCACTGAGCCCCAGCCCAGCCTGAGAGTCCAGAATGAGCATGGATGAAGGAGGGAGTCACTGGGCCGGGTGCAAGATGGCAGGTTGGGTTTGGAGGGAGGTGGCTGAAGATGGACAGTCCTAGTCTCTTTTTTGAGACAGTTTCTCACTAAGTTGCTGATTCTGGCCTCGAACTTAAACCCTCCTGTCTCGGCCTCCTGAGGCACCAGGATCCCAGGCATGGCCACTGTGCCTGGACAGTCTCAGGGATTCCCAGTGTCCCGTGCGGGCAGTGGTCCCCCGGAGTGGTGCTGTTTGGAATGTCCGCTGCTTGCGCAGCACTGACTGTTTTTACAGTTGATCTGACTCTTCCCATTCGTTGGCATAAAGTTCAGAATTTCCTCATTTTGATTTTATGTGAAATTTTTAAATTTTTATGAGAAAGAACACAGATTACGCAGCTATCCCAATCACAGGAACCCTCTGGGAAGCTGGCCGCCCAGGACTTCCAACGGCAGCGGGGCACCTCCCTGGTACCTTCTCTTAGTACCTTCTCCTACGCGCCGTGTTTGTGAGCTCCACCGTCCCGCAGGCTGGGAGTGGTCCACTCATCCTCATCCTCGGTGTTTCTCAGTCCACTCTTGACCGACATCTGAGCCTTTCGGGTTCTTGGGTGCTGTCAATGGGACAGCTTTGGCCACACCTCCTTGGCTCTTGAGTGGCTGGGCCACAGGGAAGGTAGGACATGGTGGCTGTTTGCCAGAGGCTGTACCAGTTTGCCCCCAGGCCTGGGACAGGGCAGGTCATGCTGCGCATCCTCGTCACTATCAGGTGGCCAGGCTTCGCTGGTGGGCTGTGGCTTCAAGTGGCACTGCCCTTGAGAGGAGTGTGCCGGGCACTGCTCTATGTGGCAAGTGACCAGTCCACTGTGGCCAGTGGCCCTTCCAGTGCTGCTGTTCTATTGGGTTGTTTTGTCTTTTCCTGAGCTGTGAGAGCTCGGTTCCTTCTGGAAGGAGGACCACTTTTTCTTGCGCTAGTTGGCCATTTGCACATCTTTTGTGAAATGCTTGTTCAGATTTACCTCATTTTCAATTACAAGTTTTTGGATTAATATATAAACACACATATAAATAGCAATGTGTGTACTAGCTGAGTGGTAGAGACATAATGTGTATTTTAGTGTTTCATTTTAATTACACTATTGACATACTGGCTAACCCAGGGGCGCTTAACCACTGAGCCACATCCCCAGCCCTTTTGTACCTTCTATTTTGAGACAGTCTCACTAAGTAGCTAAAGGTCTTGTTAAGCTGTGAAGGCTGGCTTCAAACTTGTGATCCTCCTGCCTCAGCCTCCTGACTTGCTGGGGTCACTTATGTGCACCACCACAGCTGCCTATATCTTTTTTTTAATTTATTTTTTAAATATTTATTTATTTTTTTAGTTGTAGTTAGACATAATACCTTTATTTTATTTATTTATTTATATGTGGTGCTGAGGATCGAATCCAGGGCCTCGCACGTACTAGGTGAGCGCTCTACCGCTGAGCCCCAGCCCCAGCCCACTATCTTTTTATTTTTTAAGTGGTTGCTTTATGGATAATGTTACGTATGTTTAACTCATCACAATCGCCTTCAGTAACATTGGACCACTTCAGTGTGAGAACTGACCACCGTAGTGCTGCCCTGCCCTGTCCTTTGTGCAAAGTTATCACTTGCTTTTCCTCTGCACCTGGTACATTTGACAACAAGCTTTATTATTTTGCATAGAGTTCGTTGCCCTTTTTCTTTAGAGCTTCATTGAGGTTTGTAAGCAGTGACACTAACCGTCCTAAGTGTGCACTTCAGTCATTTGTGGTGGCCTTAAAGACTTGTACCTACCATCACCATGAGCCCTTTGCTAGAACGTTGCTGCATCCCTGGATCCCCTCCACCCTGCTGACGCTGGGTCTCCCCCAACCCCAGCCCCGGGCGACACTGGGTTAATTCTGGTAGAATGAAGCCCCATCCCACTTCCCTCCGCTGCTGTTTGGTCCTCGTGGATTGCATGGCCTTGGTACAACCCCGTGACGTGGGCGAGGAGCACCGCTCTATCTACGGGGTTCACGGACTACAGCCTGTACCCCGATGAGCCAGCTGCTTCTGTAAGTCAAGTCTGGATGAAGTGCAGTCACACTGTGCCCACTCAGCATCCAGGCAGCCGCAGCTGCTGACCTGGAGGTGCCGGCCATCCGGGCTCGCACAAGAAAAGCGCAACTGCGCACTTCACACGGTCCTGTCAAATAAGTTAGTGAGAAGTGCTGCCAGATGTGCACGGGTCACTTCTGTCAGTGAGGGGGCCCGGGACAGCTGTGCTGTGAGATCAGGTCACCTCAGGACGGTGGCCTCCTGCTTGAGGACACACTATGATGCCCACACGTGTCGAGGCTGGCTCTCGACCGGTTCCCCCGCGTGACGGACGGCCCTGGTCTTTTCTCTTCTGCGTCTCAGCCGCAGCCTCCTTTCTCTCCGGCCATGCCGCCCCGGAACTCTCTGAGGTCTGTTGGTTCCCCCTGCTTCTCCTCCTCTTCACCTTGTGCAGTTTCTACTAACCACCAAGTGGACAGCTCTTTCTCTGGGCTCCCCAGACCTGCAGTTGAGCCACTCTGGGGCAGTTTCATCTTGGGAATGTCTGCACTGAGCGCGGCCACGCCTTCCCTCCATTCTCCAACGCACTTCCCTCCAGCTGTGACAGGCTTTCGGTGGGTGGTGGCCTGCATCAAGGCACCTCCTGTGGCGGTTCAGAGACAGGGTCCGCTGGCCGCCTGCTCCTCGGCTGGGGCTGTGCCCGAGGTCTCTGTGTGTCTTGTCGTTTATCGCTGAGTGCTGGGCGTTGAGGTCAGGTGTTGTATCAGCTCTGCCTTCTGACTTCACCCCCACTGGAGCGGGCCACTCACTTCTGTAGCTATTTTCTTGACCAAATCTGCCAAGTCTGAGCACAGTGTGGGAGCTCCCCAGCTCCAGCACACTACTGTCCAGCCTCATGCCACGGCCTCCCCACCCAGTGGCTGTGGCTCTCCCCAGGACTCAGTGTCCACCTCCCTGTGTGCCATCTGGTCCATCCACCAGTGTGTCTCCACCAACAGCCTCTCTTCCCACAGTGTCTGGCCGGCAGCTGCAGCCCGAGGAGCCAGGTGCAGCTACTGAGGAGGACCGCACTGTAAGTGGGACCAGGGAGGGAGGGTGTCCGCCTCACAGCCTGCCCCCAGGCCTTCTGGCCTTGCAAGAGCCTGAGTGCTGACAGGAACTCAACTCTCTCCTCCTGCCAGGTGACTGAAGGGCCTGTGGACGAGGTCATTCGGCCACGGCCACAGGGGTCCTCCCCTGTCTACGAATGCACAGCAGAAGGCACTGGCTTTGGAGTCCAGGTGAGCCCCGGGCAGAGCTCACAGGCCGAGACCAGGCCTGGGCACAGGGCCCTGCACCGCTCTCCCTCCTGATCACCTGTGTGGGAGGCCCACATGCATGTCTCTGTACAGCACCCTGCCCTGTCTGCTGCCATCAGGCCAAAGCTGTGCCCATCACTGTCCCCTCTGGGTCCCCTGACGTGGAGATGCCTGCGGCTACTGAGCTCGTGTGGGTGGGGCACAGACCCAGGCTCCCATGTGTGGGGCCATGGTGGGACACGGGATGTGTGCACATGTGCAGCCTTTGGGGAGGACACAGGCCCCCGTGGAGGAGGACAGGAGGGGCCATGGGAGGAGACGTGTCCTCAACAGATGGCGTCCTGCCTTTGGAGATCCTCCTCCGTACTGAACTCCAGTGCCACAGGGCTTGCCGGGGGAGCTGAGGCTGGCCTCAGGTGGAGGAGGCCCTGCGCTGCCTTTTCCCTGGTGGCCCCCAAGGGACACAGCTCCCTCTGCACCCAGCTGCACCCTGCAGCTCCTGGGTCCCTCTGCACTGGGGTCTGCTGCCTGGAGCCTTCTGTTCTCCCTGACCCAGGGCCAGGTGGGTGGAACCTTCTTTCCTGCCTGTCCCAGGCTGGGTGGCGGGTAACTCCCAACCCCTGTGGCTACAGGAAGACGCCCCGGGCCGGCGAGGCTCCTCAGGGAGGCGGAGGTCCTGGTGGAAGCGGGCCTCGGGGGACTCGCAGGTCTTCTCCAGGATGAGCCACCCAGAGGTTGGTATGCCAGACCCAAGGTGCTGAGGGAGGGTGGCGGGCAGCAAGGAGACTGGCAGCGTCCCTGGGTCCCAGGGAGGGCAGGGCTACGGGAGGCCCCAGTGACGAGGGCCCTGGGTGTGTGGTCCTCATTACGCCCCCATCCAGAGGGGTGGTGCCAGGTCGGGCACCTGCACGGGTTGCAACCAGAAGCTTCAGAGCTCTGTGGGTACCCTGAGGGGTGCGGGGGCCTCTGCTGGACACAGAGGCCACCATCATGTCCAACATGGGTGGCCTGCATCCCTTCCCTGTGTTGGCCTCAGGTCTGTGGCCCTGCTTGATTTGAGCACTGGGTGTTCTGCATGTGCCCAGTGCGTCATTTGTGAGGGAAGGAGGTTTGACCACAGTGCCTGCAGGGGCCATCCTCTCTGCTGGGCATGGACAGCCAGTCCTGGCAGGCTGGGTAAGGCTGTGGGAGGCAGCTCCTACCTGAGGCTCTCTGTAGCCGGCGGCCTCCAGTGCTGGGACAGTGCAGCCTGCGTCCATCTGAAAGGTGCCCCCACCTCTGCCTGTGGTGCCCATGGTGACAGGTGGATGGTGTGGTCCCCTTCTTGGGAGACGCCAGCCCCTAGCACTGATGGCACAGCTCACCATGGCTCTGATGTGCTTCTACTCCAGGCTGTGCGGGAAGTGACAGAGGTGACACTGGAGACTGAGGTGGAGGCAGGAGCCAGTGGTTACAGTGTCACAGGTGGGGGACACCAGGGGATCTTTGTCAAGCAAGTGCTGAAGGACTCCTCGGCTGCCAAGCTATTCAGTTTGAGAGAAGGTACAATGGCCGATCCATCCCTTTCCCCATCATCTGGGCAAAGATGGCCGGGACATGGAAGGGACCCGGAGGGGGCAGGGCCACACCTAGATTCAGGACCACCCCGTCATGTCTCTACTCGTCTGCCCCAGGCTGGGCCACCCACAGTTCCTCTTGGCCGTGCAATGGAGAGAACCTCCGTTTCTCCCTGTTGCCCCAGGGCTGGGGGTCCCAGTACCCCTGACTTGGTGGGAGTGGGAACTAAGGCAGAGCTGTTCCTTTGTCCTCTAGGGGATCAGCTGCTTAGTGCCACCATCTTCTTTGACAACATTAAATATGAAGATGCTCTCAAGATACTTCAGTACTCGGAGCCTTACAAGATCCAGTTCAGAATCAAACGGAAACTGCCTGCCCCAGAGGGGGAGGAACTGGCCGTCTCTGGCCCTTGGCAAGACTCCCAGGGCAAGGAGCAGGTAAGGCCCCTTCGGCAGGTAAGGAGAGGCTGCAGAGGCTGCCCCTGCGTCCTCGTGCACAGGGCACCAGCCTCTGCGCCAGCTCCAGTGAGTTCCCTCCCCCTGTGTTTCAGGACAAGGATGTGACTGACGAGTGTACAGAGACCCCTACGAAGACCCTGGAGGCAGATGGTGACCGGGAGAGGCTCATCTCCAAGCCCAGGGAGAGCCGTGGCAGGCGCCCCCACGAAAGGCTCTCCTGGCCCAAATTTCAAGCCCTAAAGAGCAAGCGGGGGCCTGGACCTCGGCGTTCACACAGTTCCTCCGAGGCACACGAGCCTGGAGATGCACGAGACGTGTCCCCGACAAGCACAGACACAGAGGCCCAGCTGCAGGAGGAGCTCCAGGCACAGAAGGCAGGGCCAGGCCGCCAGAGGAGGAGGAAGTTCCTGAACTTCAGATTCAAGATGGGTTCAGGACAGGAGCCCTCTGCCGCAGGGCAACTGGGCAGAGAGGCCCACGGCAGGCCACATCCTGCTGGGGTGCTGGGGGAAATGGGCCCCTGGGAGGATGGGCCAGGGGCCACAGGGGCTCCTGCGGGAGGCAGGCCCGAGGAGAGAGCACAGTGGCAAGAGGCTGGGCCGCCTGTGCAGCAGGGAATGGAGCCAGGCCTTCCAGCACACGCCCTTGGTGACAGAGCTCCTGCAGAAGGGGTAGGGATGGCTGCCAGGGGCCAAAGGGAGACACAACCCGTGAGCACCCAGCACAAAGCAGGGGAGCACAGCAAGCCCAGGAGCGGCACTGGCGCAGGCCGGGGGATGAGCTGGGAGCAGGAATGGGAAGAGATTCAGAGTCTGGAAATGGGGATAGCAAGACTGTCCCTGCTGGACACCCAGGACCCAGGCAGCTCACAGACACACGGACCGGAAACACAGGTCCAAGTACGTGACTTAAAGACACCCAAATTTGGAATTTCCAAAGAAAAAGTAACAGAGACAGGAAAAGGTGGCAAAGGACTTGAAAAGAAGAAGGGAGAGCAGACATCACCAGGAGAGGACGAGGGGGCCAGGACGGAGGCCACCGCAGAAGAGGACACACCAGTGGGCACAGGGCCCCAGGCAGACGCTGCAAGGAGGAAAGAACAAAAACAGAAGACACCAAAGACACCGCAGGACAAGGGGGAGACACAGAAAGATGAGGACCCAGAGAGGAGGGAGGCCAAGGCGAAGATGCCCAGGGCGCCAAGGAGCTCCATGGGACGGTCACCAAGTCGGGAAGGGAGAGCAAGCTCACCTAGAGCAGGAGGGGAAGGGAAACGGGAGACGGCCCGCGAAGACAGGAGGGCGACGAGGGGACCTCACGCGGTGGGCACAGAAGACGCCCTGCCAGGGGAAGAGCAGGAGCAGAGACCAGTGGGAGCCACACAAAAGAGAGACGCGGAGACCACAGAGGAGAACGTCAAGAAGGGACACAGGGACCAGGACGCAGGAGAGGGCCGGCTCAGAAGGCCCACGTTCAAGATGCCCTCCTTCAGCGGGTCCGCCGTCGGCAGGGCCTGGGACGCGTCTGTGGAGGTGAGGGCACCCAAGGTGGAGGCTGATGTGGCCTTGCCTTCCACACAGGGTGACCTCAAGAGCTCTGACCTCAGCATCCAGCTGCCTGCCACCAACTTGGACACCAGGGATGGCCAGGTGGACGTGACCCTCCCCGAGGCCACCTTGCCTGAGGGAGACCTTCTGGCAGACACAGACTCTGGAGCTGGCCTGAAGGGACACCTACCCAAGATGCAGATGCCCAGCATCAAGATGCCCAAGGTGGACCTTAAGGGCCCCCAGGTGGACATAAAGGGCCCCAAGCTGGAGGTGAAAGGCCCCAAGGTTGAGGTGAGTGCCCCCGACCTGGACATGGAGCTGCCCTCTGGACAGGTGGACATGCAGGCCCCCACCACCAAGCTGGAGGAGGACCTGGCCCTGGCAGACAAGGAAGTGGCCACCGGAGACAGCAAGTTCAAAAGGCCCAAGTTCAAGATGCCCTCTTTTGGCATCTCTGCCCCCAGCAAGACCTTGGACACATCCATGGAGGTGAAGGCACCCAAGGTGGAAGCCCATGTGACCTTGCCCTCCATCCAGGGTGATCTCAAAGACCCTGACCTCCACATGCAGCTGCCTGAAGCCAATGTGGACATCAGGGCTGGCCACATGGACATGACCCTCCCCGAGGCCACCCTGCCCAAGAAAGTGCTACTGGCAGCCCCTGATGCTGAAGCTGGCCTTAAGGGGCACAAGGCCAAGGTGCAGATGCCCAGCATCAAGATGCCCAAGGTGGACCTCAAGGGCCCTCAGGTAGATGTCAAGGGCCCCAAGCTGGACATGAAAGACAACAAGGGCGAGGTCAACACCCCTGACCTGGACGTGGAGCAGCCATCAGTGCAGGTGGACATAAAGGCCCCTGGTGCCAAGGTGGAAGGGGCCCTGGCCCTTGCAGAAAAGGACTTGGCCACTAAAGAGGGCAAGTTCAAAATGCCCAAGTTCAAGATGCCCTCCTTCGGCCTATCTGCCCCCAGCAAGACATTGGACACATCCATGGAGGTGAAGGCACCCAAGGTGGAGGCCGATGTGGCCCTGCCCTCCATCCAGAGTGACCTCAAAACCTCTGAACTCAGCATCCAGATGCCCACTGCTGACTTACAGGCTGGGACTGGACAGGTGGACTTGACCCTACCCAAGGCCACCCTGCCAAAGGGAGAGCTGCCGGCAGCCCCTCCAGCTGGAGCCAGCCTGAAGGGGCACTTGCCCAAGGTGCAGATGCCCAGCATCAAGATGCCCAAGGTGGACCTCAAGGGCCCTCAGGTAGATGTCAAGGGTCCCAAGCTGGACATGAAAGGCATCAAGGGCAGGGTGAGTGCCCCTGACCGGGACATGGAACAGCCATCACTGCAGGTGGACATACAGGTTCCTGGTGAGAAGCTGGATGGGGACCTGGCCCTGGCAGACAAGGACGTGGCCACCAAAGAGGACAAGTTCAAAATGCCCAAGTTCAAGATGCCCTCCTTTGGTGTGTCTGCCCCCAGCAAGACCTTGGACACGTCCGTGGAGGTGAAGGCACGCAAGGTGGAGGCCGATGTGGCCCTGCCCTCCATCCAGAGTGACCTCAAAACCTCTGACATCAGCATCCAGCTGCCTACAGCCGACCTGGAGGCTGGGGATAGCCAGGGGGACGTGACCCTCCCCAAGGCCACCCTGCCTGAGGGAGAGCAGCCACCGGCTCCTCCTGCTGGAGCCAGCCTGAAGGGACACCTGCCCAAGGTGCAGATGCCCAGCATCAAGATGCCCAAGGTGGACCTCAAGGGCCCCCAGGTGGACATAAAGGGCCCCAAGCTGGAGGTGAAAGGCCCCAAGGTTGAGGTGAGTGCCCCCGACCTGGACATGGAGCTGCCCTCTGGGCAGGTGGACATACAGGCCTCCAGTGCCAAGCTAGAGGGGGACCTGGCCCTGGCAGACAAGGAAGTGGCCACCAAAGACAGCAAGTTCAAAATGCCCAAGTTCAAGATGCCGTCCTTCGGCCTGTCGGCCCCCGTCAAGACCTTGGACACATCCATGGAGGTGAAGGCACCCAAGGTGGAGGCCGATGTGGCCCTGCCCTCCATCCAGGGTGACCTCAAAACCTCTGACATTAGCATCCAGCTGCCAACTGCTGACCTGGACACCAGGGCTCGCCAGGTGGAAGTGACCCACCCCGAGGCCACCGTGCCTGAAGGAGAATTTCAGGTGGCCCCTCCTGCTGGAGCCAGCCTGAAGGGGCACATGCCCAAGATGCAGATGCCCAGCATCAAGATGCCCAAGGTGGACCTCAAGGGCCCCCAGGTGGACATAAAGGGCCCCAAGCTGGAGGTGAAAGACCCCAAGGTTGAGGTGAGTGCCCCCGACCTGGACATGGAGCTGCCCTCTGGGCAGGTGGACATGCAGGCCCCCAGTGCCAAGCTGGAGGGGGATCTGGCCCTGGCAGACAAGGAAGTGGACATCAAAGACAGCAAGTTCAAAATGCCCAAGTTCAAGATGCCCTCCTTCAGTGTGTCTACCCCCAGCAAGACCTTGGACACGTCCGTGGAGGTGAAGGCACCCAAGGCGGAGGCCGATGTGGCCCTGCCCTCCATCCAGAGTGACCTCAAAACCTCTGAACTTGGCATCCAGATGCCCACTGCTGACCTAGAGGCTGGGACTGGACAGGTGGACTTGACCCTACCCAAGGCCACCCTGCCCAAGGGAGAGCTGCCGGCGGCCCCTCCTGCTGGAGCCAGCCTGAAGGGGCACCTGCCCAAGGTGCAGATGCCCAGCATCAAGATGCCCAAGGTGGACCTCAAGGGCCCTCAGGTAGATGTCAAGGGCCCCAAGCTGGACATGAAAGACAACAAGGGCGAGGTCAACACCCCTGACCTGGACGTGGAGCAGCCATCAGTGCAGGTGGACATAAAGGCCCCTGGTGCCAAGGTGGAAGGGGCCCTGGCCCTTGCAGAAAAGGACTTGGCCACTAAAGAGGGCAAGTTCAAAATGCCCAAGTTCAAGATGCCCTCCTTCGGCCTATCTGCCCCCAGCAAGACATTGGACACATCCATGGAGGTGAAGGCACCCAAGGTGGAGGCCGATGTGGCCCTGCCCTCCATCCAGAGTGACCTCAAAACCTCTGACATCAGCATCCAGCTGCCTACAGCCAACCTGGAGGCTGGGGATAGCCAGGGGGACGTGACCCTCCCCAAGACCACCCTGCCTGAGGGAGAGCTGATGCCAGCCCCTCCAGCTGGAGCCAGCCTGAAGGGACACCTGCCCAAGGTGCAGATGCCCAGCATCAAGATGCCCAAGGTGGACCTCAAGGGCCCCCAGGTGGACATAAAGGGCCCCAAGCTGGAGGTGAAAGGCCCCAAGGTTGAGGTGAGTGCCCCCGACCTGGACGTGGAGCTGCCCTCTGGGCACATGGACATACAGGCCCCCAGTGCCAAGCTGGAGGGGGATCTGACCCTGGCAGACAAGGATGTGGACACCAAAGACAGCAAGTTCAAAATGCCCAAGTTCAAGATGCCGTCCTTCGGCCTGTCGGCCCCCGTCAAGACATTGGGCGCGTCTGTGGAGGTGAAGGCGCCCAAGGTGGAGGTTGATGTGGCCCTGCCCTCCATCCAGGGTGACCTCAAAACCTCTGACATCAGCATCCAGCTGCCCCCCGCCGAAATGGGGGACAGGGCTGGCCAGGTGGACCTGACCCTCCCTGAGGCCACCCTGCCTAAGGAAGAGCTGCCGGCGGCCCCTGCTGATGGAGCCAGCCTGAAGGGGCACCTGCTCAAGGGGCAGATGCCCAGCATCAAGATGCCCAAGGTGGACCTCAAGGGCCCTCAGGTAGATGTCAAGGGTCCCAAGCTGGACATGAAAGGCATCAAGGGCAGGGTGAGTGCCCCTGACCGGGACATGGAACAGCCATCACTGCAGGTGGACATACAGGTTCCTGGTGAGAAGCTGGATGGGGACCTGGCCCTGGCAGACAAGGACGTGGCCACCAAAGAGGACAAGTTCAAAATGCCCAAGTTCAAGATGCCCTCCTTAGGCGTGTCCGCCCTAGGAAAGGCCTTGGAAGCATCTGTGGAGGTGAAGGCGCCCAAGGTGAAGGATGATGTGGCCTTGCTGTCCACACAGGGTGACCTCATGAGCTCTGACCTCAGCATCCAGCTGCCCACTGCAGATCTGGACACCAGGGATGGTCAAGTTTATGTGACACTCCACGAGGCCACCCTGCCTGAGGGAGAGCTGCCAGTGGCACCTGACACTAAATCCGGCCTAAAGGGGCACCAGCCCAAGGTGCAGATGCCCAGATTCAAGATGCCCAAGGTAGACATCAAGGGCCCTCAGGTAGATGTCAAGGGCCCCAAGCTGGACGTGAAAGGCTCTAGGGGCGAGGTGAGTGGCCCCGACCTGGACATGGAGCTGCCCTCTGGGCAGGTAGACATACAGGCCCCCAGTGCCAAGCTGGAGGGGGACCTGGCCCTGGCAGACAAGGAAGTGGCCACCAGAGACAGCAAGTTCAAAATGCCTGAGTTCAAGATGCCCTCTTTTGGCATCTCTGCCCCTGGCAAGACCTTGGACGCGTCTTTGGAGGAGAAGGGGCCCAAGGTGGAGGTTGATGTGGCCCTGCCCTCCATCCAGGGTGACCTCAAAGCCTCTGACCTCAGCATTCAGCTGCCCACCACTGGCCTGGAGGCTGGGACTGGCAAGGTGGACGTGACCGTCCCCGAGGCCACCCTGTCCGAGGGAGAGATTCCGGCTACCCCTGCTGCTGGAGCCAAGCTGAAGGGGCACCTGCCCAAGATGCAGATGCACAGCATCAAGATGCCTAAGGTGGACCTCAAGGGGCCCCAGTTGGACATCCAGGGCCCCAAGCTGGAGGTGAAAGGCACCAAGGTCGAAGTGAGCACCCCTGTCATGGATGTGGAACAGCCATCAGTGCAGGTGGACATACAGGCTCCTGGTGCCAAGGTGGAGGGGGACCTGGCCCTGGCAGACAAGGACGTGGCCACCAAAGAGGGCAAGTTCAAAATGCCCAAGTTCAAGATGCCCTCCTTAGGCGTGTCTGCCCCAGGAAAGGCCTTGGACACATCAGTGGAAGTGAAGGTGGCCAAGGTGGAAGCCGATGTGACCTTGCCTTCCATACATGGTGACCTCAAGAGCTCTGACCTCAGCATCCAACTGCCCACCGCAGCCCTAAACACCAGGGATGGCCAGGAGGATGTGACTCTCTATGAGGCCACCCTGCCTGAGGGAGAGCTCCTGGCAGCCCCTGACTCAGGTCCCAGCCTGAAGGGGCATCTGCCCAAGGTGCAGATGCCCAGCATCAAGATGCCCAAGGTGGACCTCAAGGGCCCCAAACTGGATGTGAAAGGCCCCAAGAGCGGGGTGAGTAGCTTTGACCTGGAGATGGAGCTGCCATTAGGACAGGTGGACATACAGGCCCCCACCACCAAGATGGAGGGGGATCTGGCCCTGGAAGATAAGGAAGTGGCCACCAGAGACAGCAAGCTCAAAAGGCCGAAGTTCAAGATGCCGTCTTTTGGCATCTCTGTCCCCGGCAAGACCTTGGGTGCATCTGTGGAGGTGAAGGCACCCAAGGAGGTGGCCGATGTGGTCCTGCCCTCCAACCAGAGTGACCTCAAAAGCTCTGACCTCAGCATCCAGCTGCCCCCCGCCGACATGGGTGACAGGGCTGGCCAGGTGGACGTGACCCTCCCCGAGGCCACCCTGCCTAAAGGAGAGCTGCCGGCGGCCCCTGCTGATGGAGCCAGCCTGAAGGGGCACCTGCCCAAGGTGCAGATGCCCAGCATCAAGATGCCCAAGGTGGACCTCAAGGGCCCTCAGGTAGATGTCAAGGGCCCCAAGCTGGACATGAAAGACAACAAGGGCGAGGTCAACACCCCTGACATGGACGTGGAGCAGCCATCAGTGCAGGTGGACATAAAGGCCCCTGGTGCCAAGGTGGAAGGGGCCCTGGCCCTTGCAGAAAAGGACTTGGCCACTAAAGAGGGCAAGTTCAAAATGCCCAAGTTCAAGATGCCCTCCTTCGGCCTATCTGCCCCCAGCAAGACATTGGACACATCCATGGAGGTGAAGGCACCCAAGGTGGAGGCCGATGTGGCCCTGCCCTCCATCCAGAGTGACCTCAAAACCTCTGAACTCAGCATCCAGATGCCCACTGCTGACCTACAGGCTGGGACTGTACAGGTGGACTTGACCCTACCCAAGGCCACCCTGCCAAAGGGAGAACTGCCGGCGGCCCCTCCAGCTGGAGCCAGCCTGAAGGGGCACTTGCCCAAGGTGCAGATGCCCAGCATCAAGATGCCCAAGGTGGACCTCAAGGGCCCCCAGGTGGACATAAAGGGCCCCAAGCTGGAGGTGAAAGACCCCAAGGTTGAGGTGAGTGCCCTCGACCTGGACATGGAGTTGCCCTCTGGGCACATGGACATACAGGCGTCCAGTGCCAAGCTGGAGGGGGAACTGGCCCTGGAAGACAAGGAAGAGGCCATTAAAGACAGTAAGTTCAAAATGCCCAAGTTCAAGATGCCCTCCTTTGGTGTGTCTGCCCCCAGCAAGACCTTGGACACGTCCGTGGAGGTGAAGGCACCCAAGGTGGAGGCCGATGTGGCCCTGCCCTCCATCCAGAGTGACCTCAAAACCTCTGAACTCAGCATCCAGCTGCCTACAGCCGACCTGGAGGCTGGGGATAGCCAGGGGGACGTGACCCTCCCCAAGACCACCCTGCCTGAGGGAGAGCAGCCACCAGCTCCTCCTGCTGGAGCCAGGCTGAAGGGACACCTGCCCAAGGTGCAGATGCCCAGCATCAAGATGCCCAAGGTGGACCTCAAGGGCCCCCAGGTGGACATAAAGGGCCCCAAGCTGGAGGTGAAAGGCCCCAAGGTTGAGGTGAGTGCCCCCGACCTGGACATGGAGCTGCCCTCTGGGCAGGTGGACATACAGGCCCCCAGTGCCAAGCTGGAGGGGGATCTGACCCTGGCAGACAAGGAAGTGGCCACCAAAGACAGCAAGTTCAAAATGCCCAAGTTCAAGATGCCCTCCTTCAGTGTGTCTACCCCCAGTAAGACCTTGGACACGTCCGTGGAGGTGAAGGTGCCCAAGGCAGAGGCCGATGTGGCCCTGCCCTCCATCCAGAGTGACCTCAAAACCTCTGAACTCGGCATCAAGATGCCCACTGCCGACCTAGAGGCTGGGACTGGACAGGTGGACTTGACCCTACCCAAAGCCACCCTGCCCAAGGGAGAGCTGCCGGCGGCCCCTCCTGCTGGAGCCAGCCTGAAGGGGCACTTGCCCAAGGTGCAGATACCTAGCACCAAGATGCCCAAGGTGGACCTCAAGGAGCCCCAAGTGGACGTCAGGGGCCCCAAGCTGGACATAAAAGAGTCCAAGGTCGAGGAAAGTACCCCCGACATCGACATGGAGTTTCCCTCCATACAGGTGGACATAGAGACCCCCAGTGCCAAGCTAGACGGGGACCTGGCCCTGGCAGACAAGGACGTGGCCACCAAAGAGGACAAGTTCAAAATGCCCAAGTTCAAGATGCCCTCCTTAGGCGTGTCCGCCCTAGGAAAGGCCTTGGACGCGTCTGTGGAGGTGAAGGCGCCCAAGGTGGAGGATGATGTGGCCTTGCTGTCCACACAGGGTGACCTCATGAGCTCTGACCTCAGCATCCAGCTGCCCACTGCTGACCTGGACACCAGGGATGGTCAAGTTTACGTGACACTCCACGAGGCCACCCTGCCTGAGGGAGAGCTGCCAGTGGCACCTGACACTAAATCCGGCCTAAAGGGGCACCAGCCCAAGGTGCAGATGCCCAGATTCAAGATGCCCAAGGTAGACATCAAGGGCCCCCAGGTAGATATCAAGGGCCCCAAGCTGGATGTGAAAGGCTCTAGGGGCGAGGTGAGTGGCCCCGACCTGGACATGGAGCTGCCCTCTGGGCAGGTAGACATACAGGCCCCCAGTGCCAAGCTGGAGGGGGACCTGGCTCTGGCAGACAAGGAAGTGGCCACCAGAGACAGCAAGTTCAAAATGCCCGAGTTCAAGATGCCCTCTTTTGGCATCTCTGCCCCTGGCAAGACCTTGGACGCGTCCATGGAGGTGAAAGGGCCCAAGGAGGAAGCCGATGTGGTCCTGCCCTCCAACCAGAGTGACCTCAAAAGCTCTGACCTCAGCATCCAGCTGCCCACTGCCAGGACTGAACAGATAGACGTGACCCTTCTCAAGGAAGGCCTGCCCAAGGGAGAGCTGCCGGTAGCTCTTCCTGCTGGAGCCAGCCTGAAGGGGCACCTGCCCAAGGTGCAGATGCCCAGCATCAAAATGCCCAAGGTGGACCTCAAGGGGCCCCAGGTAGATGTCAAAAGTCCCAATTTGGATGTGAAAGGCACCAAGGGCCAGGTGAGCACCCCTGACCTGGACATGGAGCAGCCATCAGTGCAGGTGGACATACAGGTTCCTGGTGCCAAGCTGGAAGGGGACCTGGCCCTGACAGACAAGGAAGTGATCACCAAAGAGGGCAAGTTCAAAATGCCCAAGTTCAAGATGCCCTCCTTCGGCATGTCTGCCACTGGAAAGGCCTTGGACGCATCTGTTGACATAAAAGTGCCTAAAGTAGAGGCCGATGTGGCCTTGCCTTCCACACAGGGTGACCTCATGAGCTCAGAACTCAGCATCCAACTGCCCACCGCTAACCTAGACACCAGGGATGGCCAGGAGGATGTGACCCTCCATGATAGCCCCCTGCCTAAGGAAGAGCTGCCAGGGGAACCTGACATTAAATCTGGCCTAAAGGGGCACCAGCCCAAAGTGCAGATGCCCAGATTCAAGATGCCCAAGGTGGACCTCAAGGGGCCCCAAGTGGACATAAAGGGCCCCAAGGTGGACGTGAAAGGCCCCAAGGTCGAGGTGAGTGTCCCAGACCTGGACATGGAGCTTCCCTCTGGGCAGGTGGACATACAGGCCCCCAACACCAAGATGGAGGAGGACCTGGTTCTGGAAGACAAAGAAGTGGCCACCAGAGACAGCAAGTTCAAAAGGCCCAAGTTCAAGATGCCCTCCTTCGGCATCTCTGTCCCGGGCAAGACCTTGGATGCATCTGTGGAGGTGAAGGCACCCAAGGAGGTGGCCGATGTGGTCCTGCCCTCCATCCAGAGTGACCTCAAAACCCCTGACCTCAGTATCCAGCTGCCCACCGCCGACCTGGAGACCAGGGCTGGCCAGGTGGACGTGACCTTCTCTGAGGCCACCCTGCCCAAGAAAGAGCTGCCGGCGGCCCCTCCTGCTGGAGCCAGCCTGAAGGGGCACCTGCCCAAGGTGCAGATGCCCAGCATCAAGATGCCCAAGGTGGACCTCAAGGGCCCCCAGGTAGATGTCAAGGGCCCCAAGCTGGACATGAAAGGCACCAAGGTTGAGGTGAGTGTCCCCGACTTTGACATGGAGCTGCCCTCTGTGCAGGTAGACATAGAGGCCCCTGGTGCCAAGCTAGAGGGGGACCTGGCCCTGGCAGACAAGGATGTGGACACCAAAGACAGCAAGTTCAAAATGCCCAAGTTCAAGATGCCGTCCTTCAGCATCTCTGCCCCCGGCAAGATCTTGGACACGACTATGGAGGTGAAGGCGCCCAAAGTGGAGGTCGATGTGCCCTCTATCCAGGGTGACCTTGAAGCCTCTGACCTCAGCATCCAGCTGCCTGCCACCCACCCTGACGCCAGGGCTGGCCAGGGGGACGTGACATTCCCTGATGCCACCCGGCCCAATGGAGAGCTTCCGGCTACCCCTGCTGCTGGAGCCAGCCTGAAGGGGCACCTGCCCAAGGTGCAGATGCCCAGCATCAAGATGCCCAAGGTGGACCTCAAGGGGCCCCAGGTAGATGTCAAGGGCCCCAAGCTGGACATGAAAGGCACCAAGGTTGAGGTGAGTGTCCCCGACTTTGACATGGAGCTGCCCTCTGTGCAGGTAGACATAGAGGCCCCTGGTGCCAAGCTAGAGGGGGACCTGGCCCTGGCAGACAAGGATGTGGACACCAAAGACAGCAAGTTCAAAATGCCCAAGTTCAAGATGCCGTCCTTCAGCATCTCTGCCCCCGGCAAGATCTTGGACACGACTATGGAGGTGAAGGCGCCCAAAGTGGAGGTCGATGTGCCCTCTATCCAGGGTGACCTTGAAGCCTCTGACCTCAGCATCCAGCTGCCTGCCACCCACCCTGACGCCAGGGCTGGCCAGGGGGACGTGACATTCCCTGATGCCACCCGGCCCAATGGAGAGCTTCCGGCTACCCCTGCTGCTGGAGCCAGCCTGAAGGGGCACCTGCCCAAGGTGCAGATGCCCAGCATCAAGATGCCCAAGGTGGACCTCAAGGGGCCCCAGGTAGATGTCAAAGGACCCAAGCTGGACTTGAAAGGCACCAAAGGTGAGGTGAGCACCCCAGACCTGATGGTGGAGCAGCCATCAGTGCAGGTGGACATACAGGCTCCTGGCGCCAAGGTGGAGGGGGACCTGGCCCTGGCAGAAAAGGACGTGGCCACCAAAGAGGGCAAGTTCAAAATGCCCAAGTTCAAGATGCCCTCCTTAGGCATGTCTGCCCCAGGAAAGGCCTTGGACACGTCTGTGGAGGTGAAGGCGCCCAAGGTGGAGGCTGATGTGACCTTGTCTTTCACACATGGTGACCTCAAGAGCTCTGACCTCCACATGCAGCTGCCTACTGCTGACCTGGACAGGAGAGATGGCCATGTGGATATGACCCTCCATGAGACTGCCCAGCCTGAGGGAGAGCTCCTAGCAGCCCCTGATTCAGGAGCCAGCCTGAAGGGGCTCCTGCCCAAGGTGCACATGCCCAGCATCAAGATGCCCAAGGTGGACCTCAAGGGCCCCAAGCTAGACGTGAAAGGTTCCAAGGGCGAGGTGAGTGTCCCAGACCTGGAGATGGAGCTGCCCTCCATGCAGGTGGACATACAGACCCCCAGTGCCAATTTGGAGGGGGACCTGGCCCTATTAGAGGAGGATGTGGCCACCAAAGAGGGCAAGTTCAAAATGCCCAAGTTCAAGATGCCCTCCGTAGGCTTGTCTGCCCCAGGAAAGGCCTTGGACACGTTGGTGGAGGTGAAGGTGCCCAAGATGAAGGCTGATGTGGACATGCCCTCCATTGAGGGCGACCTCAAAGGCTCTGACCTCTGCATACAGCTGCCCGACACCGACCTGGACTCCAGGGCTCTCCAGGTGGATGTGACCCTCCCCGAGGCCACCTTGCCGGAGGAAGAGCTTCTGGTGGCCTCTGCTGCTGTATCCAGCCTGAAGGGGCACCTGCCCAAGGTGCAGATGCCCAGCATCAAGATGCCCAAGGTGGACCTCAAAGAGTCCCAGGTGGACGTCAAGGGCCCCAAGCTGGACATAAAAGGCTCCAAGGGCAGGGTGAGCACCCCCGACCTGGAGCTGCCTTCTGTGCAAGTGGATATTCAAGCCCCTGGTGCCCAGCTTGAGGGGGACCTGGCCCTGGCAGACAAGGAGGTGGCCACCAAAGAGGGCAAGTTCAAAATGCCCAAGTTCAAGATGCCCTCCTTTGGCATGTCTGCCCCAGGAAAGGCCTTGGACACGTCTGTGGAGGTGAAGAGGCCCAAGGTGGAGGCCGATGTGGCCCTGCCCTCCATTCAGGGAGACCTCAAGGACTCTGACCTCAGCAGCCAGCTGTCTGCCACTGACTTGGAGGCTGGCGCTGGCCAGGTAGACGTGACCCTCCCCAAGCCCACCCTGCTCGAGGGAGAGCTGCAGGCGGCCCCTGACTCTGGAATAGGCCTGAAGGGGCATCTGCCCAAGATGCAGATGACCAGCATCAAGATTCCCAAGGTGGACCTCAAGGGGCCCCTGGTGGATGTCAAAGGCCCCAAGGGTGAGGAGAGCACCCCAAACCTGGACATGGAGCTGCCCTCTATGGAGGTGGACATACAGGCCCCCAGTGCCAAGCTAGAGGGGGACCTGGCCCTGGCAGACAAGGAAGTGGCCACCAAAGACAGCAAATTCAAAATGCCCAAGTTCAAGATGCCCTCGTTCAGCCTGTCTGCCCAAGGAAAGGCTTCGGATGCATCCGTGGATGTGAAGGTGCCCAAGGTGGAGGCCAATGTGACCCTGCCGTCCATTCAGGGCGACATCAAAAGCTCTGAGCTCAGCATCCAGCTGCCCACCGACCACCTGCAGGCTGGGCCCGGTGAGGTGGATGTGACCCTCTCTGAGGCTGCCCTGCCCGAGGGAGAGGTGCCAGTGGCCACAGTCTCTGGAGCCAGCCTGAAGGGGCACGTGCCCAAGGTGCAGATGCCCAGCATCAAGATGCCCAAGGTGGATGTCAAGGGCCCCCAGGTGGACACAAAGGGCCCCAAGCTGGAGGTGAAGAGCCCCAAGGGTGAGGTGCTCCCCTCTGAACTTGATGTGGAGCAGCCCTCCGTGCAGGTGGACACACAGGTCCCCGGCGCTAAGCTGGAGGGGGACCTGGTTGTGGCAGGGGACTTGGCCCCTGAAGACATCAAGTTGGAAAGTGGTGATGTAGACACGCCTTTTTCAAAACGAGAATCAGAATTGACATTTCATAGACCCCATTTTAAATTTTCTAAATTGTTCAGTCCTCATAAGAAATCCCCTCGGGGTACTGCTGGCGTGGAAGAGGCCCCCGGGGCCTGCCTCCTCCGCGTGTCCCCAACATCATCCTCACAGGTCTCTGGGGTGGAATCGCAGGAGTGCACGGTGTCTGGGGTCACTTCCTCTGTGGAGAGTCCCAGTTTTCTCACGTCTGACCTTCCTTTTGCTAGAGCTGACGGTGCTGCGGGGCGCACTGGGCCCCCTGTTGTCACGGGTAGTGAGCGTCCCTCGCTGAGCCAGCCCCCGGAGGCCTGCTTTCCTCCGGGTTCCAGAGCCGAGTGCCCGCAGGCCTCCTGCTCTCCACAGCGGGGCGCTCCTTCTGCTGGTTCTGAGAGCTCTGTTGTCTGTGTGTCCTCCCCTGAGCATCAGTCAGGCCCAGAGGACCCCGAGCCTCCTGCATTCCATGCCCGGGTGACTTTTCCTAAATTCCACAAGCCAAAATTTGGGTTTTCCTGTGCTGCTGCAGCTGTTGCTGAGGCAGATTCACGTGCTGCCGAGGATAGCCCAGGCCTGTCTCTCCTCTGCCCTGTTGAGGGAGTGGATTCGTTAGGTGAGGGTGCCGTGGTGACCGGTCTGCCTGCCTCTCAGCCCCTGTCCTCAGGTGTCCCTGAGTCCCCAGGGAGGGAGGAGCACTTGGGTCTGGCTGTCGTTGGAGGCCCAGCTGAAGCTGCTGACCGTGATGGGAAGGGCAGTCCCTTTAAGATGCCTCGCCTCAAGCTCCCGTCTTTTAGCTGGTCTCCGAAAAAGCAGGCAGTGGTAACAGGGGACCCTGGGGGCCACCCAGAGGACGCCACACTCAGCCTGGTTCTGGACACAGACGAAATGCATACCCAGCACACGGTCCAGGTGCCCCCAACGGAAGCTCAAATGCATCTGCCTTCAGAGAAGGAAGGAGAGAAAGGGAGGCCAAGGAAGCCTGCCTTGGCCATGCCCAGACTTCCACTTCCCAGACGGCAGGCTTCCAAGGCGCGGGAGAGCTTGCCTCCAGGAGACACAGACGCTGCATTGTCCAGTACCACAGATGGAAACGACACCGAAGCCACAGAGAGGGCCAGCTGTGATGGTGGTCAGGGAGACACTGGCGTGACGGCCGGCCCCCTGGAAGGAGATGGGGGGCATGTCCAGGTGCCACAGGCCCATCCTCCCAGTTTGGGTTTTGACAAACCCAAGGTGGAGGTGAGTCTGTCGAAGGCTGACCTGCACCTTCCCAAACATGACCTGGCTATCAGAGGTGACAGCAAAGAAAGCCGGCTCGGGGACCTCTCCATGAGCCAGTCCCATGGGGAGAGGATGGCACACCCCGAGGATGTCCCCACTGTGGAAAGCCCAGAGGGGGGCACTACCACCAGAGCAGCACCGGCAGACTCGCAGGCACACTGGTTCAGGATGCCCACGTTGCGCGTGCCTGGCTTCAGGCGCTCTTCCTCCAAGGAGCAAGGGGGACCCCGGGAGCAGGACACAGCCGAGATATGCAGGCTGGCTGCCCCCACACCAGCAGAGGCAGCCCCCGATCCTGGGTCAATGGCAGAGGCAAGTGTGTCCCCACGGCCCCTAGAAGCCCAGATGGAAGGGGCCGCTCCTGAGAGTGAATCCTACGCAGACGTCCCAAGGTGTCATCTTGAGAGCCCCAGCTTAAAGCTGCACTTCCCCACTGCTCCAGTGTCCGAGTCGGGCCTGCCCAGCCCTGGGGGCGGGACCCATCCAGCCATAGACCCCCTTCCCCTTCAGATCCCTGGAGTGAGGCCTTCTGAACCCTTGGCTCCACCAGGAGAAGCACGTGGGGAGCCTCTTTCCCAGCCAGGAGGATGTGACCTTGCCAAGGCAGAGGCAAGAACAGAGATGTGGTCCTTCCAGCCCAAAGGTCCTCTGAAACTGAAGGCTTCCAGCACTGACGTGCCATCCCAGGTTTCCGTGGTGAACGTGAATCAGCTCTGGGAAGATTCTGTGCTAACAGTCACATTCCCCAAACTGAAGGTGCCCAGGTTCTCCTTCCCTGTGCCCAGCTCCGAGGCGGATGTGTTCTTTCCTGTGGTGAGGGCAGTGCCCTGCATGGAGGCAGGCACAGAGGTGGCCCTTCTCCAGGACAGTCCTGGGCTCTGGGGAGCCAGCCTCCTGAGGGCCTCTGGCACTGTGGTGCCCGGGGAGCAGCCTGAGGGCCCTGACCTCTCCTCAGAGGTGTCCCCAGTTTCTAAGGTCAGAGTGCACATTCAGGAGTCCCAGGGTGAGAGTCAAGGGGTCACCATTTGCAGCAATGTGCAAGGAGAGTGCTCTGATATGGCAGCACCCGAGGCCTCTTCCACTCAGATTGTGCGGGAATCTGAGATCCCCACGTCCACGGTTCAGATGCCTTCCTATGGGTTCTCCTTGCTGAAGGTGAAAATCCCAGAGCTCCCTGCACAGGCTAGCACGTACACCACAGCTCAAGACTCCGCAGCAGGGGAGCACTCGGGAGGGTCCCCAGGAGGAGACACCGTTCCTGGAGATCCGCAGCCTGACACTGGAGAGCCATTTGAGATGATCTCCGGCAGTGCCAACCTGCTGGGGCCACCAACATTCCCGAGTGAGGCTTGCTCTGGCCTCCAGCTTGCAGACAGTGGCTCTGATGAGGAGCCAGCAGAAATTCTCGAGTTTCCCCTTGACGACCGCCCGGAGGCAACGACCCCGCTGGCAGGTGAAGACAGGGCTCCCAAAGAGAAGCCAGAAGGTAAAAAGTCTTCTGGGCTGTTGTGGTCTTGGCTTCCAAACATCGGGTTCTCTTCCACCAGCGAGACCAGTGCCGATGCCAGGGATGACGCCCAGAGGTGTGCTCCCATCCAGACACAGCCTGGGGCACGGCCAGACCCGGAGCCCGAGAAGAAGCAGGACAGGGCAGGCTGGTTCCGGTTTCCCAGACTAGGGTTCTCCTCTTCCCCTGCCAAGAAGGGCAAAAGCTCGGAGGAGGAGGCAGGTCTGCCCGGGCAAAAGCTGCAGGAAGAAACAGTCACCTTCTTTGACGCCCGAGAAAGTTTTTCCCCTGAAGAGGAGGATGATGAGGTGGCAGCAGGGGCTGCAGGTGCCAGGCTGGGGTCCAGAGTGATGGTGGCATCCCCAGCAAGAACAGAGCTGATCCTGTTGGAGGACAGCAAAAGTGTTGGCGAAGGGCCTGTGCCCAGGCCCGCAACTGAATGAGGGTAAGAGAGGTGCGGCCAGTCAGCAGGAGAGAGATGCAGAGGGCAGGGGTGGAGTGCCTGGGGGCGCTGGGCTGGCCGCACACGCATCCACCTGGATAACGGACCGGAGAACCAAGCAGAAATGAACATGAACATCTGGGTCACATGGCCCAACCTTCCTAAAATGGAACCAAAAACGTGACCAGCTCCCTCCAAGCTTTGGGAGCACAGAGGTGCCCAGACTCCCACCTGTATGGATTCACTCAGCATCGTGGGGCCACTGGAGGCACAGCTGGAGAAGCCTGCTGGTCTGCATGCATGAGCTCCAAGCGGCCTGCAGGAACGCCCAGAGGGGCCGCGCTCCTGACGGCAGGGTTCTTGTGCCCACGGGTGTCGAGGCGGTTGGCGTAACCTGTGCCCTGCGTTGCCATCTCGTGGTGAAGCCAGTTCTCTGGCTCCAGGCGGAGCACGCGGTGTTCTTGAAAACCTGTTACTGGCTCACGTACAAGCTGGCTCCTTTGTCAACATCCTCCTCGTGGCCAGCTCCAGGATGCCTTGCGATGATGCTGGGCACACAGGAGATGGCCAACGGTTGCCTGATGGGAACTAAGTGGCGACAGATGTTAGGACACCTGAGAGTCATCACGAGACACCGATGTGTTCTCCTCAGTTTCTCCAGTGTGCACAGCCCCACGCCGTGGCCCCAGCACCCCTTGATGTAGCCAGGCTCAGCTGCCCCTGGATAGGCAATAAAGCGCTGTATTCCGTGGTAAAGGCTTCCGCGTCCTGTGTTCTAAACCCCCAGTGCTGTTGCCTGTCCTGCGCACACTCAGCCCTGCTCTCCACCAGGCTGCTCCAGAAAGCAGATCCAGGGTGCACAAGGGGTGGCCATCCTGCTCCTCTGTCCAGATCGAGACGAGGCGGGAGACAGGGGCCCTGAGGCCATGTGGGTGGGGACCCAACACACACCCCTCTCACCGGCTGGAAGCAGCATTGGCATGGAAGACAACATGCAGAGCAGGACAGCAGAGCGGTCCTGGCTGGAGGCCCAGCTGTCCCTGGCAATGCTGGCCTGTCCTCACAAGCTGCTTCCACCACAGTGGCCTTCAGGGCAGCCCACAGGAAGGGAGTCCACGGGGGGCTGAGCAAAGCTGAAGGTTTCCTGCATCCTCCCTGCTGTCCTGGCACGTTCCTGGCTTTGGCCTGGGTTTGCAGTGTCCTGAGGGGCAGCTGGAGCCTGTAGCAGGCCTCTTCTGGCCCCAGCAGGCTCCTGTGACAGGTGCTCCTTGCTCTGGAGGGAGGACAGTTCTCTCCTGTTCTGGAGGACTGTGGCTGGGGCGCCCACTGCTCCCGAGGATGCCCACTCCCTGAACTGCCCTGTGAGGGCCTGAAGGGTGGGGGCCAAGGTGTGTGGGAGCACGCTGGGTGCTTCTCCCTGTGCCACTGTGACCCGCCATGTCTATCCTTGTGGATGGCTAGGAGGGTCACCCACGTCAGGGGACACAGCGGCTCTTAGAAAGGGAAGCAGGCTTCTGTCCCACACTCTAGTGGGGCTGTTGCATTCTCCACCCACGGTGCTCTGCTTTCCTGTGCCCCAAATGTACCAGATGGCTTGGCACAGTCCCAGGGAGCTCACGGGGTCTACCTCGCTCCAAAGGCTTCTGCCCTCTGAACCTGGAGCAAGGCCTCAGGAGTGGGATGCCAGGGCTGGAGGCCAGGAAGGAGGTGGCTGTACAGAGGCCCCACAGGATTTTCAAGGACCTTGGTTCCCCGCGTGTGAGTCATCTATGCTACGAAAGGACACCATCACCACTTAGCACCTAAGACAACACACGTTTATAATCCCCATTTCTGACAGTCAGGAGTCCAAGTGTGGCTCAGTGGGTCATGGGTTCAGGACCCCACACAGCTGCCACCAAGATGTCAGCAGGCTGGGTCTACCTTGACTCGTGTTCATTCCCTGAGTGCTGGGTGAGTGAGGGCCTTGGCTTCTGGCTGGCTGGAGGCCACCTGGTACTTGGTCACCTGGACCTCCCCATAGCACAACTCTCTTCATGAAAGTTAGCAGGGGACAGACTCCCGACAAGACAACAGTGCAGTCTATGTCATGTAACCAAGGAGATGGCAGCCTCCATCACCTTTGTGTGTCCTATTAGTGACAAGCAAGGCACAGGTCCTGACCCTGAGCAAGGAGATGAGATTCACAGGGGCAGAGACCACGGAGGCTGGTTTCCAGTCCACCTACCCCATCCAGGGAAAGCCACATCATGGCGCCCCATCCCCAGGTCTCCCAAGCCGTGTCAATCTGGGTTGGCTGTGGAGAATCGGTGTCTGCTTTGGAGCTGGCCTTTTAGGAGGTCACTGAGATGTGGCCACAGGACCCCTGTGTGTGGAAGCAGGCCTTTCCAGGCTGAGGGCCACCAAAGCTGCCCAGAACACCGAGTGTCCCTTGGGCATCGTTTCTAGGCCTGGACAGCGGGGGCCGGAGACCAAGCCCACACATGCAGCCCTGAAGGGCAGAGGTGGGCGAGACAGTGTCTGCTCCAGAGAGGGGTGCTGCTCCCGCTCCTCGGCCAGAGGGGAGATCTGGGTGGTGGGGAGGGGAAGTACCCTGCAGGGAGCGGCCACAGCAGCCTCCGGGTTTGGCTCTGCCAAGTGCCGCGCACACCTGGGCCCGGGACCAGGAGCTCCAAGGGGCTCGCAGGGCTCGTGGATTCCCAGGCCTCCCACAGACACACTCTCTCCAGATCCCCACAAAGCAGGCAGGAGGCGGGCTGGGTTTAGGGGACCTTCAGCACGGACCAGAGGGTGAGGGGAACAAGTGCAAGGACAATGACGAAACGGAACTTGCAGCTGCCTGTGCAGACCGGGTTCGCCCTCCAAGAGCACAGAGGACCAGAGAGGGCAGGGAGACCACCCAGTGCGGCACCAGCAGCCTGGCATCCATTCACTATCGGGCAAGCCAAGCTGCAGTTTGTGTGGCCTCTGGGCCTCGGCAGGCCAAGTGGTCCCCGATTCTTGGTCAAAAGCCACCATGTGAGCAAGGGTAAGTGCTGAAACAGGCTTCTGACTCAGTACACAGAAGAGAAAAGTCAGAACTCAGTCTCCAAAATGGGCTAACCTCCTGCTTCTGCATCAAGGACAGGAGCTCCAGTGAGGTCCTTCCGACTCCCTATCCCAGCTTTGTGTCCTCTTCCTCCCGGAAGCTCAAGTCCAGGTTCTCTGGAACCCATACTCTAGCCCGGCCACCAGGGCCCTGCAACCTGGCCCGGTTCTAACTCAAATCCTGGGCCCACCCTCAGACCCCAGGCCGGCGCCACAAAGCCCTAGGTCTACCCCCACATACTAGCCCCACCCACACAGCCCCAGGACCCACGCCAAACGCCAGCCACACCCACACGGTCCCAGTCCTGCCCCCACAGGCCAGCCCCCCGCCCCTCCTATATACTCTGGCTTCTTCAGAGTCCTGCGACTTCCAGTGACAAGCTGCGGGCGCAGTTTGTGTTGCCGTGAGCCAGCCCGGGGGATCTCACTCTCTCAGAGTGGAGCCAGTGCTGGGGCTTCGGATTAGGAGAGGGTAAGCGCGGCCCGAGTTGATCCTTGGCGCCAAGGACCCCTTCCAATCCCTAACTCCGCCCCTAGGCTCCTAAGGCTCTGCTGACCCCGTGGACAAGTAGCAGGGCTGGAGTGACCACGGAGACACTGACCCTTTGCGGGGTCCCTGGGGCAAGGGGTGGGACACTGGCTTGCAGGCCTCACTTGTGGGCTGGGATGACTCCCTAAGGTCAGCAGTTTGCACCCACCCAGGTTAGCACGCCCCCCTCTGGAGAATCTGGGTAGGAAGGAGCTGCAGAGCCTGGACAGAGGCGGCGGTGAATCGCAGCCATGATAAAGAGCGCTTCAACGGGAAGCCGAGGCCAGCGGCTCTGGGTACACCCGACGGGGCGAGACCTGCAAACCGTCGGCATCTCTTACTGGGGGTGGTACTTGGGCAGTGCTCAGCAATGCCCGCAAGCTGTATGCCTGGGTCTGGCCCAGCCCTCACGGGTGGGTGGCCAGTGAGACACAGCTGGGGCTGGTCCTATGGCAGTCGAGGCCTTTCCATGTAAGGGCTACAGACCCTCCTCCCCTGAGAAGCCAGTGCCACCTGAGGGTCTGCGGAGCTTAATGCAAAATTGTCAGAACCTGTGTTCATCTGAATTGCAATTCTCTGGCCCCAGGTAACATTCTTTTGCATTTATAATTTCTGAGCTTCAACAGCCTGGTGGACAGCAGGGTTCACTGGGGGCTGTGGACCAGGAGCCAAGGGGTTGGGCCTCAGCCCTGCCAGACACAGTCCTGGCCTGGGGCTTGTCCGTCCAGGCCCACAGCATAGCGGGAACTCCAGTCACGCTCAAAGAGTCGCCGCAGTTGTTCCTGTGCGGGCTGCACCCCTGCCTGGGCACCGGGGGCCCTCTGGCTGACCACCAGACCCACGCCCGAGGTGCTGCTGAAGTAATCCTCCGACCAGTTGGAGGTGCCTGGGGAGGAGGTCCAGAAGAGAGGCTGGGGTGCTGGGCTCAGCCCCTGCCACAGGCCCTGGACTGTGGCCCCAGCTGTAGGTGGGGACAGTGGGCACACTGGCTGCTCTGCTATCAGTCCAGCCAGGGCAGGTGCAGGAACTCCACCAGGTCACCGTGGGATGGACATCCTGGGCCCTGCAGCTCAGGATTCCTCTGCCTGCCCCTTGACAGATGCCTGGTCCCCAGAACTCCACTGGAGACCCTGACCGCCTTCAGCAGCAGCCAGGCGTCCCAGCTGCTCACCTATGTAGGCTGCCTTCTCCGTGACCAGGAATTTGTTGTGGTTCACCCGGCTGAAGGGGATGTTGGAGTGATTCCCCACAGGCACGATGAAGACTTTCTTTGGAACAGAGAAGGGGCATGGGAGGGGATGGGAAGGGAGGGGAGGGGAGGGGAGGGAGGGGAGGGAGAGGAGGGAAGGAGGGAGGGGAAGGAGGGAGGGGAGGGAGGGGAGGGAAGGAGGGAGGGGAGGGAAGGAGGGAGGGGAGGGAGGGGAGGGAGGGGAGGGAGAGGAGGGAAGGAGGGAGGGGAAGGAGGGAGGGGAGGGAGGGGAGGGAAGGAGGGAGGGGAGGGAAGGAGGGAGGGGAGGGAGGGGAGGGAGGGGAGGGAGGGGAGGGAGAGGAGGGAAGGAGGGAGGGGAAGGAGGGAGGGGAGGGAGGGGAGGGAAGGAGGGAGGGGAGGGAAGGAGGGAGGGGAGGGAGGGGAGGGAAGGAGGGAGGGGAGGGAGGGGAGGGAGGGGAGGGAGGGGAGGGAGGGGAGGGAAGGAGGGAGGGGATGGGAAGGGAGGGAGGGGAGGGAGGGGAGGGAGGGGAGGGCCCGCCTCCCCCAGCCTCTCCTGGGAGCAGAGCCTCACCACGTCCACTGAGATGCCAGCAGAGGGGTTGCTGATCGCCTGCAGGGACCGCAGGTAGGGGAACATGGTGGGGTCCGTGCCGAGCCCACAGCTGACCAGCAGACGCACACGTACACGCCGGCCAAAGGCGGCTTCCCGCAGTGCATTGTCCAGCACTGGCCAGTACCTGGGGAAGGCAGGGTCAGGGTCCTGCCTCAGGGCCCTGGGATGAACAGGGGTCCTGGCAGAAGGGGAGACCTGCGAACCCGGGAGCCGCCCATGGGGGGGCTGTGCTCTCCAGGGCCTCGCTTCCCAGCGGTCACCTGGCAGGGTGGCTGAAGCGCGTGGTGGGGAAGTACTCCATCACTGAGGCGAAGATGAACTCCCGGGCACCCTCCATCACTGCCAGCACTGCATCCAGGTCCTGGGTGCGGCCTCTGGGGCAGAGGGCTGGTGGCGAAGCCTGTGGTGGAGAAGCACTCCTGCAGCACTGCCAGGCCCCCCACCTGGGCCCCACATACCACCCAGGGGCCTCGTGGTGGGGGAGGGGAGGCGAGCCGCACTGCCTGGGAAGAGGGCTCTCAGCAGGGCCCTGGGCCCGGCCTGAACCTAGCCAACGGCCAGCCTCTGGGGCTCTGGGCTGCACTGACTCTTCACAGACTGCTCCTGCCCCAGGAACCTTCTCCGCTTTCTCCAGAGTGGGACCCCCTTATCCAGGGTCTCTCCGCGTTCTGACATAGTCTTGGCTGCAGACCAGTCACTAGGGTAGCTGGGGGCTCAGAGGGTCAGTGCTCTGACAGAGGGGAGTCGTGGGCATCCCCTTCCGCGCCGCAGAGTGTCTGATGCCTGGCGTCCCTAGCCCCCACAGCCTCTGAGCCCACCCACACTCAGCAGTCTGTTTGAGACCCCAAGGGCCACAGATCCCGCTGCCTCTCTGGCCAACTGTCTCCCACAGATGGCGCTGACCTGGCATCCTTTCCAGGAGCTGGGCCTGCCAGTGCCGGCCTGCTTGTCCCTGGCACTGGTCTCTGAGGACCCAGAAGCTGCTGGTGGTGCTGAGGACTAGGCCCAGGGTGTGGCAGGGCCCTTGTTGGTCTGGCCAGCTAGGGGAGAGGAGGGTCCTGATGGCCTCTCTCCCCACCTTACCGAGAAGTAGGCCATGGTGGGCAATCCGTCAAAGTGGCACCGGAGGGGCTGGAAGCGGTTGATGTGGGATGAGAAGTTCTGAGGCCAGGTTTTGGGGAGGACAGCCTGGGGTGCCCCCAGTACCCAGTACGTCTGGAAAGTTTTCTCCAGGTCCTGGGCCAGGCGGCTGCAGTTGTAGATAATGGCTCCAAGTTCCTTCACCTGCAGGAACCAGGGTCAGTAGCCACAGGGAGCAAGGCCTACCAGGGGAACCTGGGGCCCATCACCTGGCGCTGGGCAGGGTGCAGCCCTTCCCCCCTGGCAGCAGCTCTGCGGCGTCACCTGCAGGACCTGTGACAGTGCACCCAGGTGGAGGGCCACTGCTCCCTGGGTCCCTGTTTTTCCTGAGCGGTGTTTTCTAGTGCTGAAAGTGATGTTTGTTGGACACCCCAAAATTGCATAAAACACAAGGAAATAAAATTGCTCTAAATTGCACTGTTAAGGGATAACAACTGCTACCATGATCACATTTATTCTCTCTGTCTCTCTCTCTCTCTCTCTCTCTCTCTCTCTCTCACACACACACACACACACACACACACACGATCTCTTTAGTGAAATGAAAGTACACTCCATGGAGAACTTGGGGCCACTCATCCCAAGAGAGGAAGCTGCTCACTTTGGTCTTTGACATGTGGTGTGTGTGGTGCTGTGGGTTGGACCCAGCCTCCAGCATGTGCCAAGCACACACTCACACTCTGCCACTGGCTTCAGCTCCAGCCCTCGGACACATTTTTGTTTTTTAATATTTTTTAGTTGTCAGTGGATCTTTTATTCATTTCTATGTGGTGCTGAGGATGGAACCAAGAGCCCCATACATGCCAGGCAAGCACTGGACCACTGAGCCACGACTCCAGTCCCCCTTGGACATGTTTTTAATGCACTGCTTCTTCTAAAAAGCCTCTTGCTTTGTAATCTGCATCTTTCTCTGATGGCTGTGGTCTAAGCAACTTCCTGTCCTTAAATGTTACTCCCTGATATGAGTGCTGGGCCGGTGGAGCCTGTGTCTGATCATCTCCTCTACAGAAAGGTGATGGCACGGCTCTGTGACCCAGGATTCCATCTGCTGACTTCTCCTGACACTGACTTCCTCTGATCAATGGGGACATCAGGCAAAGCCCTTGGGACTCGGAGGGGGAGGAACTCCAGATGGGCCTCCTGTCCATGAGTCCTGGGACTTACCTGCGTCAGGGACCGCCAGTCCATGTTGGCACTGCCCACGTAGATGTGCCGCCCGTCTACAACCCAGAATTTGGAGTGCAAGACACCCCCAGTGAACTGCCTCATGGGCACCTGTCGCACCTGGGCACCTGTGATGGAACACGGGCTCTTTGTGTGTGCTAGCTGCAGGGGGAGCCTGATTCTGATGTGTCGGTCCTCAAAACAGCAGTGCCACCTCAATGTGGACGCTCTCCTCACTTGACTGGTGAAGAAATGGAGGCACAGCTGGCCCTGGGTCTCTCTGGGCAGCCCAGCTCCAGAGCATTTGAGATGACTGAGCCTGCTGTCACCTGCCACCTGGCCTCAGCCTCGTCCTCAGGGCCAAGCAGCAGGGCACCCAGGCCACCCCACACTCTGCCCTGTGGAATGTGCCACTCTGGCTTCTGGGAGTCTGCCTGAGTCCAGGTGACATCAGCTCAAGGGAGCTCAGAGTCCTGGGCTTCTCCCTCCAGGGTCGAGGGGAGCAGTGGGGGCCTCCCCTACCCTGCCCAGCAGTTCAGTGGCTCTTTGCCTTTGTCCCGTGGCGTCGGCAAGGCAGGGCCGCAGGGCCAGGGTGGAGAAGGCGCCTACCGTGGGCGGCCAGGACCTGCAGGTCGGTGGAATTCCTGGTCAGTGATGGGCTATTGGTGGCCACCATCAGGGAGATGTCCTTGTCCAGCAGCTGCTGCAGCTTCTGCAGAATAGCCTCTCCCTGTGAGGCCACGCTGGCCATGAGAGGTGGCCCCCAGCTGGGTCCTCTGTCCCTCCCCCCAGGACCTGTGGCTGCCCATGGCCTAGGGCTGGGCCAAGGGTCTGGATGACCTTGGTTGGGAGCAGAATTGCACTCAGGCCCATCTAAGTGCTCTGACCCCCAGGGGCCTCCCCTCTACCCTGCCCAGAGCTCCCAAGAAAGGGCTTTACCCTGCCCTTTCCCAGTCCCCACCATCGCACTGGCCCTGGGCCTGGGCCCCAAAGCTCCACACAGATGGGTGCCCTGACTTTCTGTGTGCCCATCCCAGGGGCAGGTTGGGGCAGCCTTTAATCTCAGGGACAGGGGTGGGGGCCAGGGATGCACCGGCTGGGAAGACGAGTCATTGACCCCGATGTCAGGCCCCGTGAGGGACCAGTAGTATGAGGCCACATGGATGCTCTCCTGGGCAGTGTCCAGCAGCTGCAGCCAGGCCTGGGCCAGTGGCTGGGCGGATGGGCTGCCAGCTGCAGATGGCAGGTCCTGAGGGATGCTTTCCACAAGGACAAGCCTGGAGAGAGAGGCAGGAGGGGGCCGGGTGTGGCTGCCGGAGCCACCAGCCTGCCTTGGCCATCTGCTCCCTCCCTGCCGCCCAGCGGGAGGCACTACGGCCCATGTGGTCTGGGGCCCGAGCCGCCAAGCTGAGGATCCAGGAAGGGCAGCTAGACGGAACTGGCGGAGGAGGCCTCAGCCCCACAAGCTGTGGCAGCAGTGACACCCTGAGGGGACGGGGCTGCCTGGCCTGCAGCCAGGCTCCACCCCAACCCGATGGATAGTGAGGTGAATGGGGAGGCTCCGGGGTCTGGGACCCCGACAGCAGGGAGCTGCCTCGGGGCAACAGCACCAAACCCCGCGGGATGAGAGGACCTGAGGTGCCAAGACTCACTCAACAGCGGACAGCGTTCACCAGCCTTGCCAGGGCCCCGGGCAGCCCTGTTTTCTGCCAAGAGTCCCCAGCCCAACTTGAGCCTGACACTCCAGGCCCTTCCCGTGACCCATGTCCCCTGCAGGTGCTGGTGGAGGGTGGTGCTCGGCCCAGAGGAGGACCCGGTGGTGGAAAGCAGGCACTGTCCAGGAGACCTGCCCCCACCGCAGGCCCTGTGGGCTCACTCACTGGCAGGAGTCCCTCTGCTGCTCAGCCTCTCCTTCCAGGGCCTCCCAGGACTCAGGGGACACTGCTTCGGGGTGCTGGTGCCAGGCGCGAGGAAGGGGCACTTGCCACAGGAGGTAGGTGAGAGTCACGAGGCCCAACCCCAGCACAGCCAGCATCCCCAGCACCTGCGGGAGACACTGTCTCTACAGGGTCCTGGGAGGGCCGTGACCGCCCCCCAGTACAGGAACAGACTGCCAGGCACTCCAGAGGGCCCTGCTGCAGCTGGGCTAGGCCTGGCGGGGGAGGAGAGGAGGACAGAGGGAAGCCAGGCCCTCTAGGTTGGGGTTGGTGGTCTGCAGCCCACTGTGTGGCGCTGTGGTCAGCGGTAACTGGCTGCCCCAGCTTCCCTGGCCGTGAGATGCAGGCAGGGTCTCCAGCAGCCCCGGGGCTTACCTCCCCGGCTGGCCTGCCCTCCCACCCAGGGCTGGTTTTCTCTTCTGTACTTGGGCCCAGGGTTCTAAGATTCTATTTAAAATTGACTTTTAAAGTAATTAGAATTGGGAATTAGGCTAAAACTTGTCCTAGGCTGTGGCGTCCCTGGTAAACCCTCCCTCGAGACCCGGGTCCTACCGTGCTGGTTCTGCTGCATGGGCTGCGGCGTGGTCTGGAGCAGGGCCACTCGGGGTCCTCTGCTGTTCTGCATAGTGGAGCCAGCAGCTGCAGGAGGCAGTCTGGGCTCACAGGCAGCTCTGGCACCACGGTGTCAGCCCTTTGTGGGGTCCCTGCAGACACACGCTCAAACCCCCGGAGTGGGTCTCAGCCTGGGCGGGGCCGGGCTCCGCTGCACACCCGCCACGGGCAGCCTGCGTGTGGACCTGGAGCTGGCTGCACGTGGCTTTCCTGGGGCCTTGGGCCTGTCTAGCCTGTGCCCTGCAGGCTGTGCTCCCCTCCCGGTGCCCCCGTGGCGGGGTCTGGACGTCTGGGTCTCGGTTCCTTGTTTCAGCCCAGCTGCAGCCGAGTCTGAAAGCACTCTTTCTGCTTTTTCGGCTTGGTTCCTCCTGACTGGCCCCAGCAGTTGCCCCCCTGCCAGGGTTGCCTGGTCTAGGCCCCTGGGTATGTGACCGCTGCTGGTGGAGGCCAGACCCGGTGGGGGACGCAGGCAGCCAGAAGCCTCCAGCAGACCGCGTTGTGTCCAGGGCAGGGCCTCCCCTGGCAGCAGGGAGTCTGCAGTTCTGGGATGGACTCACCTGTGCCCACAGAGTGGTCCCTCCATGGGGAGCTGGGAGCCCGGCTGGCACCACTGCCCTGAGGGCACCACAGAGCAAGTACCTGGGAGCTGTGTCCACCCTCCCCGGGTACAGGGAAGGGCCTGTGCACAGGATGGGGCCACTGTGCCCTCTAGCCCCCGACTGAAACACCACAAAGGCCCTGGTGACGCCAGGGGTCCGAGGTTCAGGGCCCGGGGGGCACTGGATGCCTGTGTGGAGTGTGGGGCTGGGCGAAGGGGCCCCTGGGGCTTCTCCCTGCTGTCCTTCCCAGCTGGGGCTCAGAGAACTTGGCCACCTCAGCCTGGGAGGGTGCCCAGGGCCTGGGGCTCTGTGTGGCCCAGAGCCAGAGCGCCACAGGGTGGTGGGACCCGAACCCATAGCTTGAAGCATGGGGGACATGGGCTCAGGCAAAGTTACCAGGCCCAGGATCCCTCTGCCCAGGTGTCCCTGAGGAGGAGAGTAAGGGTGACACCCCAGGCCACCTGGGCTCGAGCTCTCAAGATGGCCGCCTACACAGGGGCGGCCCAGGCCCTGCGAGCCCAGCTTCAGGCTTCCCCTCCTCCGTGACTTTCTGGGGAGGTGGCCTGTGTGGGGTTCTGGGCTGGGGCACTGGGGACCCTCGGGGGCTTGCTCTGCACTGCTGCTGCCCCTCCTGGGAGAGGGCTTTTGCCCTCAAGGTGCCCAGACAGAAAGGCTGACAGCACTGCAGCCCGCTGAACCTGGGTCCTGTCAGGGGCGGCTCAGGCACCACAGACCCTCGGACCTCCTTCCAGCCAGGGGACTACACTGGGGCTAGGGGACGGGCCTCCTAGGGCCTGGTCAGCTGAAGCTCTGTCCTCCCACAGGGGCCCTGGGGACCTGTGTGGCCCTGGGGGAGGGCTGGCTATCTGATGGAGGGAGGCATCTCAGGGCTGAGCTGGGCTGGGGGACGGGCCCTGAGCCTCCTCAGCCCCATGGTGGGCCGCCAGGGAACCCTGGAGGCATCAGAGGCCACAGCCGAGGTGTGGGGATGTGCCCTGCAGGGCGTGTGGCTCACTGGGTGTCCCAGCTGTCCTGGCTGCACAGACTGGGCAGGGAACCGGTAGTGCAGGGCCAGTGGAGGCTGTGTGAGCCCCTGGGCCTGGGGTGGCTAGGAGCCTGAGCCGTGGTGGGGACAGCAGCTCTCCCCAGGGCTTTTGGCCTTCTCCACCCAGCTCAGGCCTCCCGGCACCTACCTCTGGGGGCCCTGCCTTGGCATCCATCCGGGCTCCAGTCACAGACTGCATCCCCCGGCTCAGGGCAGGCCCTCCTGCCTCCTCGGCAGCCCACTGCTTCCCTCCGGGCCACTTCCTCTTTTTTCTGCCTACCCCACCCCCAGTTAAGAACAGACAGCTAGAGCTGTGTGGGCCACGAGGGGTGGGGCTGAGGACTTTCACCCGAGAGAGAAAACCACCCCCTCAGCCCTCCTAGGGGTCACACGGAGGGTTCACCTTGACCACAGGCCACAGAGACCTGAGCACCCAGACTGACCACATCTAAGAGCAGGTGGTCTAGAGGCTATGATGCCTCCACAGCCACTGGGGGGTGGGTCCTGTGGGCTCCCAGTCCCCAACCCCTAGGATCCTTAGCTTCATGGTCCCACAGCTGCTGCTGGAGCTCAGCCATTGTTCCATGTTCCTAGCAGAGGGGGGCCGCTGCACTTGATTTTCTGTACTTTGCCCTCCGCCCTTTTGAAAAGAGAATAAGGGACATCCCAGAGGAGGCTCCCCAGAGCTCCCACGGCACTTTCTCTTATCTGTGATCTGGAAGTCGATGGAGATTTGCTCACAGGCCTGCACCTAGCTGCACAGGAAGCTGGGAGGTGGAGGCTGCTGGGGCCTCTGTACCTGAGAATGCAGAGGCCTGGCTACAGGTCAGCCTCACCCATACCGCCGTGGCCGGGGTCTCCTGAGTACAGTCCCTCTGGTCCTTCAGACTGGGCCTGGGGAGTAGCCCTCCGCTTGAGGTCAGTGCTTACTCACCCCTCACTAGGTGGTGAGCTTCTGTCCAGGGTGCTGACCTCAGAGTGTCCACAGGGAAGGACATCGGCTCACTGAGGCAGGTGGTGTTCCCCAGAAAGGGCGGGAGTCCTCGTCTTTCAGCCAGCAGGGGTGTCCACGGCCGCAGAGGAGAGTGTCATGGAGCGGTCTGCTGTGGCGGGAGCATCACGTGGGCCTGCAGCCCCACGCAGCCTGGCTACCACACCCACAGCGTCCTTCCCTGCCTCTTGCGTGGCCAGGCAGTCGCCCATGCAGACCCTTATTGGCCACCTGAGCAGGGGAGTTTGTCCACCTGGGGGCCGTGAGGAGCATAACCACACAAGATGAAACCACGCACAGAGAAACAGGGAGATCGGGATTTAGGTGGACACCAGGGGCTGGGGCAGGCGTCACCGGCCTGCCGACCGATGCGGGTTCCCAGGCTGGAGGCGCTCCCACCATGACCGAGGAGCCCCCAGCTCCCTCCACTCCACATGCCACCCACTCCCGGGCCTGTGCTGCGCTGTAGGCCCTGGGCTCCCACGCAGGCACCGTGGCAAGGTGGTCTGTCCTCCCTCTACACGGTCAGGTGGTCCTGAAGCCTCGCTGCAGTTGACTTTCTGTACTTTGCCCCCTACGCTTTTAAAAACTTCTCTCTTGTCCACTGTGGAAATCACTGAGTCTGTGTCTTCTTTACGCTTTTTACCACATCCCAATGGTTTGAAAAGTACGTACTTTCCCTTCAAAAATAATTATTTTATGGGCACCTGAAAATACATGAGATGCACATGGTGACAGTGATGTCAGTGACACTAAAGCAGGCATTTGTGCCAGCACGGGCCTGTGTTGGAGCCACAGCCATGCTCTGAGCCCCAGCGGTCCACTCCCTGGGACCGCACCCAGCAGAGACTGTGCTGGTCACCGCCTCCGGCTCCTGGCAGGATGTGGCTCACCCCCGGCTGCACTTGACCTGGAGATTCTCCTGTAAGCACTTTTCTCACGCAGATGTGTGGCTGCTGGTCCTGGGTCCCGTGGACCTTTGGGAAGGAACCTCATGCAGAAGAGATCACAGTATGCCATGCTCCACGCGTGGCCTGTCCACAGTGGCTGAGTGGAGGGACGGGGTGTGGACCTGGGGTTCACCTCTGGGTCCAGTGTGCTCTCCCTCCGGCCTCGGGAGCTGGGCCCGGGCAGGCGCAGTCAGCTTTAGTAGATGCTGCCACTTCTCCCAGGACACCCGAGCTGGGTTGTAGGGCCGGCCCAGGGCTCTCGGTTCAGCTGTGCGGTAGGACGGTTGGGCCCGCCATAGTTCCAACCTGCAAGTCTCTGTTGGCCACTGGTGTGGAGCCTCTTCTAGTCACTGACCACGGAGCCTCTTGGACGGTGCCTGTCGGAGTCTCATGCCCATCTTTCACCTCCTGGCTTCTTCCTCTGACTTGAAACGTTTGTTTTACGCTTTGGATACAAGTTCCTTGTAGGACTTTGAGGGCGTGACGTCTTTCCTCTCCTCTTCCTTCAAGGTGAATTTGGATGAGTGGACGCTCTGAGTTTAAGGAAGTTTAATTTATGTTCTAGTAGCTTCAGTTATTTAAAATGTTTCCTTTGTAGGGAATGCTTTTTATGTCCTATGAAGAACCGTTGTCACTCAAGTCACCTTCGGATGACTGGTTGTCACAGCGTCCCCTCTGGGTTGGAAGGGGGCTCTCGTTCTCACCCCGCCCTCTGTGTGTCCTGAGCCATTTCCGTTGCTCTGCATCGAATCTCAGCAACGTGCTGATGAGACGTCTTAGGGATCACCTGTGTATTTTTCTCCACAGTCGTTGGGTGTTTGGGATCCAAGGGCTCATAACTCTCCTGACCGCTGGACCACCTTGTGCCACTGCTTCTTTGAGGATGTTTCTGTCCTGCCCTGTGGATTGCTCCACGCCCCACAAAGTCGGGCCTGTGCTGTGTTTTGTTTGTTTGTTTTCTTGTAAGTCTTCTTTCCCTTTTGTCTGTGATTCATTTTAAGTGGTGTCTATCATTGCATCTTCCAGATGCAGAAAGACTAGGCCTGGGATTGTGGCTCAGCGGTGGAGCGCTCCCCTAGCACAGGCGGGACTCGGGTTCCATCCTTAGCACCACATAAAAATAAAGGCACTGTGTCGTGTCCATCTACACCTAAAAAAAAAAAAAAAAAGATGCAGAAAGACTTAAAAAAATGCTGTTTTCCTTAGCCTGCCCGTCGCTGTGTGTTGGGTGTTTTCTTGCCTCCAGATATGCCTGCTCTTTGCAAGTCTGGTCAAAAAAAAAAAAAAAAAAAAAAAAAATATATATATATATATATATATATATATATATATATATATATATATATATTGGTTGTCAATGGACCTTTATTTTATTTATTTTTATGTGGTGCTGAGGATCCAACCCAGGGCCTCACACCCTCACACATGCTAGGCAAGCGCTCCAGCACTGAGCCACAGCCCGGCCCAAGCCTGGTCATTTTTTGATTGGACATTGTGTGGGTGCTGGGTTTTGTTGTGTTCCTTTAATGAATGCTGGACTTTGTTCGGGCAAAGATCCTTTTGTCTTGGGACTTGCCCTTAAGCATTGCTGGGGCACAGAGAGGACCACAGCTGGCTCAGTCCTGCTCACGCTGCCAGGCCTCGTCACGAGTTCTGTCCTCTGGAGCACAATGTGCTCGGCCAGGTCGGGTTCAGGACCTGTCTGGTGGCCATTCCCAGCCTCCTGGGGCTCCTGTCGTGTGTGTAGGCCGTGGCCTCTCTCCTCTGCCACTGACTTGGTGCTGTCCCCTCCGTCCTGCTGTCTTGCTTGCTGAGCTCTGGCCCCCTTGGCCCCCCCACCAACTCAGCCACCTTGCCACCTCTTTGGAGGACCCTCCCTGTGTGATTACAGCCACCATCAGTCAGTAAGTGGCGACTGCGGCTCATCTGGCTCGTCCCCCTGTGAGGGGACAGTCCTGTGCCACCACCGCCCAGTGTCTGGAAACTGCTGTTTTGGGTATTTCCCACAGTTCCAGGAGAGGGACGAGGCCCCACCTGACTTCTTGTTAAAGCTGATTTTTTAATTCTATCTATTTTTGAGGTGCCGGGATGGAACAGGGGCCTTGTGCATGCTGGGCAAACGCTCTACCCTGAGCCACACCCTCAGCCGTTAAACTTCATTTTGAGCAGGATTAAAGTTTCCTGTCATTTGGGGGCATATTTTTGAATGTTGGGCAATTCTTTCTTTTTTTTTTATTTCATAGCTTTATTGAGGTAAAATTTAACAATAAAATGCACACATTTGAAGTAGGCGATTTGATCAGTTTTGACCTTACACATATATAGCCAATACAATTGCTATGGGCCAGGCTGTATGGGCAATGACCAGACTCCATTTACCCTGAGACCCCATATCATCTAGGAAATGCTTCTCCAGCGGGAAAGCCCCACCTCTGACCCATTCACATACCAGCACGGCACTAGGCAACACAGAACAGCAATTCTTACACAATGTGAAGTTGTTCTTTGGTTTCCATTTTTCTTGGGTGACTACCGTGTCAGAGGTTGATTGTCTAGATGTTAGTGACCGCTCTCTAACTTGTCGTCAGCTGGAGTCATTTTGGCCCCCTCCCTCTGCTTGCTTGCTGCCTGGAAAGTCCTGTGGGAAATACCAGTGGACACACTGCTTGCTCTCACTGGCTGCCCAGTTCAGCTCGGTGCCTGCCTGTCTACAGCTGTGTCCGCCCAGATGTGGTTTTGCAGTTTTTGCCCTTGAATATCCTAAATGCGCAGGCTCGGGCTGTTCCTTGCAGAGACAGTTATGGGTTCTGTGGGGAACAGTCACTGGCCGGCAGGTTGAATAAAGACTCTTCAATTTGGACAAAACTGGGACTTGGTTGTTTTCTGAGCAACCTGCCCCACAACACCATCACTACAAAAAGCATTTTGTTACTCTTTTAAAATTTGAAATCATACAGACCGTGTTTCCTGCATGATTCATTACATTGCAATCAATCATCATAAGACTCATAGAACCCCACCCCCACATCACAACTACTTCAGAATTAAATGGTGCACCTATAACTATCTCACAGGCCAAGGAAGAAAGCACAGAAAGGTAAATAAAAGTGCTCTGTACTAAGTTATAATAAATGCTTAAAACCCAAAATCTCTGGGATGAAACAGTACTCAGAAAAACATTTATAATTTAAAGGACTTGTATCAGAAAGAAGCTAGAATAACAATCAGATTACTTTTAAATTAGGGAGTAGGATGGAAAAAGTAAGAGTGGGAGCAGAAATACATGAAATAGAAAAGAAATAATACAGCTAAAATTGATAAAAATCAAGTAAGTCTAATCAAGGAAAAAAAGCAAGAACTCAAAATTGATATCAGTGGAAAGGGAGCTATCAAAGTACCCCTGCAGATGCTAAAATATATTAAGGTCATATTACAATTGAACACCAACTTATGTGATAGCTTATATAACATGGTCTATATGAGAGAAAGATCCGTGTGCTTATGAGAAGAACGTGTATTGATCATTGATGGATAATATACTCTCTATATGTCTGTTAAGTTTAAATTATCAATGATGTTTTTTTACCTCTATAGATTCTTTATTTAGTTTTTGTTTGGAGGATCTACCTGGTGGTGACAGGGGTATGTTAAAGTTACCCAGTATTATTGTGTTGTGGTCTATTTGATTCTTGAAATTGAGCAGGTTTGTTGATGTACTTAGATGCTCCATTGTTTGGGGCATAAATATTTATGATTGTTATGTCTTGTTGATATATAATTCCCTAAAGCAGTATGAAATGGCCTTCTTTGCCCCTTCTGATTAACTTTGGCTTGAAGTCCATTTTATCTGATATGAGGACTGCTTGTTTAAGTGATCCATGTGAATGATATTTTTTCCCCAATTTTTTTTCTCCTTCAATTTGTGGATGTCCTTGCCTATGGGGTGAGTCTCTTGGAGACAACATATTGTTTAGTCTTGTTTTTTAAAACCAATCTGCCAGCCTGTGTCTTTTGATTGATGAGTTTAGGACATTTACATTCAATGTTATTACTGAGAAATGATTTTTTTAGAGAGAATTTTTAAAAATATGTTGTGGATACAACATCTTTGTATGTGGTGCTGAGGATCGAACCCGGGCCGCACGCATGCCAGGCGAACGCGCTACCGCTTGAGCCACATCCCCAGCCCGAGAAATGATTTTTATTCCCTGTCTTTTTGATTTATTTCTGGTTTTTACTTTGAATTATCTTCTCCTTTGATTGACTATTCTTTTTTTTAAAGAGAGAGAGAGAGAGAGAGAATTTTTTCAATATTTATTTTTCAGTTTTCAGTGGACACAACATCTTTATTTTATTTTATGTGGTGCTGAGGATCAAACCCAGTGCCCCACGCATGCCAGGCGAGCGCGTTACCGCATGAGTCACATCCCCAGCCCTTGAGCCACGTCCCCAGCCCGATTGACTATTCTTCTAGCATAGTTCCTCCCTTTGCTGGTTTTCACTTTTATTTTTCATCATGAAATGTTTTATTGAGTATGTTTTGTAGTGCAGGTTTTCTACTTGTGAATTCTTTTAACTTTTTTTTTCATCATGGAAGGTTTTTATTTCATTGTCAATACTGAAGCTTAATTTTTCTAAGTATAGTATTCTTGGTTGACATTCATTTTCTTTCAGAAGTTAGTATACATTATTCCAGGACCTCCTAGCTCTGAGGATCTGGGCTGAGAAATCAGCTGAGATCCAGATTGGTTTCCCCCTATATGTAATCTGATATCTTTCTCTGGCAGACTTTAAAATCCTTATTCTGTATGTTAGGCATTTTCATTATAATGTGCCTTGTGTAGGTCTGTTGAAGTTTTGTACATTTGAAGTCCTGTAAGCCTCTTGTATTTGATTTTCCATTTCATTCTTTAGGTTTGGAAAACTTTCTGATATTATTTCATTGAAAAGATTGTGCATTCCTTTTGTTTGTATCTCTTATAAATCTTAAATTTGGTATTTTCATGCTATCTCATATTTCCTGAGAGTTCTGTTCATGGTCTCTTAACATCTTTTCTCCATAGTTAGCTGTTTACAACATTATACATTTTGTCTCCATTGCCCAAAATTCTGTCTTCCAAGTGGTCTAGTCTGTTGGTGATGCTTTCCATTGAATTTTTAAATTTGGTTTATCGATTCCTTCACTTCCAGGATTTCTGCTTGATTCTTTTTTTCAGAATCTATACCTCTTTTTTGATCTTTCACTTCCTGTATTTTCTTTCTGATTTCACTCCTTATATCATCCTTTACCTCACAGATCAGTTTGACTATATATACATTCTAAATTCCTTCTCTGACATTTCTTCCACCATGGTGTCATTAGATTCTCTTATTGAAGTATCTTGGTTTGTTTGGGGTGATTTGTTCCCTTGCTCTTTCATATTATTTGTGTGTCTACCCATCTAGAGTATGTATCTGACACAAAAGAGTTTCTACCCTGTGGACTTGTAGTGTCCCTGAAGGTTTCCAGGACCTCACAGCATAGGGACAAATAATAACAACCAATGCAAACAACATACAGCATAAACCCAAATAGTTCCTACTATGACATCTACAGTGCTAATTGTCACAGTGAACAGAAATGATATGTTCAGTATTGCCCACAGTAAAAACAGTAAAGTTTGCAAAAGGGTTTATAATTTTGAATGCTTGCCTGGGAGAGAAGAGAAGTGATGCAGCATGTGATGATTATGAAGGAGGAGGAGTTTGTTTGTTTGTTTGTTGGTGTTGGGGATTGAACCTAGGACCTGGTCATGTGAGGCAAGCACTCTACCCAATGAACTATATCCTCACCCCCAAGGGAGGAAGAGGGAAGATAGAAGTAAAAAACTAAAGGAAGAGTGAAAGAACAATAGAGATTGGCTGTTAGCAGAAGAAAAGAGAAAGAAATAGATAATCTATATGTAATATATAGATCTATATATGATCTGTATATATACATATATAATCTATATATGTATATAGATTAAAAATTAGAAAAATAAAAAATATAAAATTTAAATATACTACCAAATATCCTAGTGCTCAAAATATTGACTTGTGAAAAATAATTGGCTTCAGAAATGCTAGAAATGGGGGGAAAACAAACATGAATCTGTCTAAATGTCCATGAACCATTAAGGTCACAATTAAACAGAGAAAATAGAAAAGAAAAAAGAGATCTCCATGAAAAGTTAAAGAATTGAGTCCTTTGGAGTTCAAAACATTCTCAGTTTCCCCTCTCAGCAGTGTTGGTGGGTGGCTGGGGTGAGAAAGGGGATCTTGGAGGCGGGACTCCCAGAGGCAGAGTTTAGGCTTAGGAGGGCTCAGGCTCTTTGCTAGGTGCTCACTGGTCTGGAGGTTTTAAATCAGTGCCCTTCCATAGTTGGGCCATTATTTCTTAGAATATATTTTTCTGAAAGTTTTCTCTGAGAACGAAAGGTCACTCGTTTTTGCATGGAAAACCACGGGCCTGGTGCTTTCTGGAGATCAGTTTCTTTAGAACAGGGAAATCAGTGGCAGGTGCCGGCGTGCAGGTACACGTTGGGGGCTTTTATTCATTTCTGCAAATGAACTGAAGCCCACACAGGCTCAGAGCCACTGACCTTCCACCTCTGTCCCTACTGGGGTCTTGCCCAAGCCCCACACCTAGCTCCCCAAGTGCGTCCCCAGCCAGTGGGAGCTCACCTCACCACTTGAGCTGCTGCCGTCCAGCCACGCACCTCTAGGCCAGGTGATCCAGAAGGTTGAGCACCGTGGCCCCCTGCCCCCAGCCCTGGCCTACTGCAGGCCCCAGCCTCCCCTCCCCAATTCCTCTCTTATACCCCCAACTCACTCCCCACCAGGCCAGGCCACTCTGTGTGGCAGGTCTACCTCCTCACTACCCTGAGTTCAGCCACCCATCCAGGAAGATGAGGAAGACAAGCCCTGGCTCTGTAGGACAGGGACCTGAGTGTCAGCCCCCTGGCCTCCACCTCCTGCAGCCACTGGTCAATGGGTGGTCTGCTCAGGCCTCCAGGAAGGCTTGCTGACTGTAGGGCCCACATGATCCACTCCGATGCAGACCTTGGGGCCCCCAGCTGGCCTAGCTTCCTCCTCCATGAAGGTGCCAGGCTGGGGTGTCTGCCACAGAAGTGGGGCCTGTTCCTGAGCCACTATGGGCGGCTGCCAATGGGGACTGTCAAGATTCAGGAGACGGGCCTGGCAGCTGGGCAGGTGCCAGTGAAGGGGGTGGGCTTGATGGGGGCCACAGCATGTGCTCGGCACCAAGAAGCCTGACCACTGACCACTGCCTTGGCTACTCCCCAGGTTCCCGGGCTGCATCCTGCAGATGCCCAGCCAGCAGCCACTTGCACAGCAGGGGCCTTCTAGGATCAAGGTGGTGGGGACAGCAATACCCTCAGGCTTGAAGACCCAGAGCTGCAGGCACCCAGTGATGTAGGTCAGGGGAAAGAACTGTGGTGGCAGGGACTCCTGGCACAGGGTTCTGGCACCTGCTGCCCATTTCTACACAGCTCAGGCATACTGTTGAGTGTTTTTGAATGCCATGTCACCGACGTCTAAGATAAAATATACTTTCTCTCGTTAGGAGGGACCATCTGCCTGGCTTTCTTGCCTAGGTCGCCACCTGGTGGCAACACCTCTGAATTGCAGCCACAAGGGTCTGGGGGTCAAAAGGCATGTTTGACCCCATGAGGAAACTAGCTGGGTCCCAGGCAGCACCCCACCCCAAGACCGTGGATGGAGGAGCAGACCAAGGCAGCAGACACTGGTGTGCTGCCACGTGATACAAGAATGATTTATTAGAACTGCATGACAAATCATATAAAATAACCATTTTCTGAAAGACACCCACGAGACCACCTGAGAACAGTGTACAGCCATACCTCCAAGAAGCCAGGCAGGTAGGTACTAATCCCAGGTCAAAGGCTGGAGGGGAGGAACACAGGGACTCGCGTGGGGGTGGGGACACCAGTTTGTGCATAAAAAGAATTGTACAGCAGTGAGCAGGGGTGAGGGTGGATAAGTCTTGGACAAGGCAAGTGGCCACGGCTTGATTCCGGGAAACAGGATGTGGGCAGCTGGGAGGGGCATGCAGGGGTGGGCGGCACCCGGGCAGGCTGGACTAGCACCTCCTCCAAATGGACAGTGGGCTCTGGGGACAGGGCCAGGCGGGATCCCCCAGCCTCCCTGCACACACACACACAGTGTACACACACACGAACACACACGTAAACATGAGGTGGGCCGGGGCACGGGTGTGCAGGGCCCTGCACTGGATTCCACGCCAGCTATCTGTAAACAGGGAGCCCATCACCCGTGGGGCCTGCAGCCACCTCCCACAGTGGAGGGCCCACCAGGGTCCCACGCCTGCACTGACACCAGGAGCAGCGTAGGCACAGCCACCATCTGATCCCAGGGCATGCCCCACCCTACCACAGCCAACAGGCTCTTTGGCTTGGTGGCCCCAGAAACGGCCACCGCTGCAGCAGGGGAGCAGGTTCTGCTCCCCGGCATGCTCCCAGCTGAAGGATCCTGAGAAAGCACAACCTTCCTGGGCCAGCCCCTGCTCCCCACCTCGGGTCAGGCCGCAGGAGCCTGCTGCAGAGGACTGACTCAATGCCACAGAAGAGGGAGGCCGGGGGCGCGAGAGGCAGCCATGTTGTCCAGACCACCAACCAGGGAGCTTCGGGGAGCCTGCTTCCCAGCCCCTTTGGTCTTGCACTCACCTCACCCGGGGGCTGTGCGCCCATGTGCCCACCCCCAAGCCCCCTAGAAGTCCAGGTCCCTGGCTGGGATGACCTCTGCCGCTCTTTGCAGTCAGCATGCCGGCGGACCTGGGCTGGCTCTAAACGGACACTGTCTCCACAACTCTGCACCCGGGTCCACAGGCCAGCTTATGCCACCTGCCCACACGTGGGCCGTCTCCCTGGGGCAGCCTGAAGCTCCGTGGGTTTGGCAGTTGTGTTGGCACCAGAGGCTTAGAGTTGTGGGCTTTCTGCCTCAAACACCTCCAGGGTTGCTCACCTGCCCAGGCTGCTGACTGGAGCAGGTAGAGCCACCAGGGCAAGTCCTCTCCCTCCTGGACAGGAGTGGGAACATGCCCGAGCCCTCCCCAGCTCCACGTCTGGCACTGAATGACCCATGCCCAGCATACAGGGTGGCAACAGGTCAGTTCAGAGCCTCCCAGTGAGTCCAGGCAGGGCCCTGACAGGCTGAGGGTAGCATTGTGGTCACCTGGTGGGACCTCCCTGCAATGGCACAAACTACATTTTTCTTTAAAGCTAAGAACAAAAATAACAGTGATGAGGGGTGGGTATGTGTCCTGCAGGGCTTGCTCTTGGCAGTGGCCACACCAGACACTGGGCCAGGAGGCTTGTGGGGGTAGGGGCAGCCATTGGAGGCTGGATGAGGTTGGGGTGCTGGCTGGGGCTGAGGAGGGGGCCTGGGTGTGGGAGGTGCTTGCCCATGGGGTTATGGCACATGTGGGGTTTTTCACAGAGAACTGCCTGAGGTCGGGCAGGTGGGACAAGAGGTGGGTGGGCAGGTACAGGACACATGCGCACAGGGAGGCTGGCCTGGCCCTCCTGGCCTTGGCCTAGATCAGGAACCTCTCTGCATCGGGGAGGAAGGCAGGCTCCGGGAGGCCGGGGGGCCCACAGTTGGCCCGCTGTGGGAAGCTCCTTAGGGGCAGGGCTGGCAACAAGGTCTCCACTGAGGTGGGCGTGGACGGGCTCTGGGCTGCTGTCCAGCCCTTCCCGAGCCCGGGCTGCCCCGAGCTTGTGCAAATTCTGTTTCCTGTGAGCAGGTCCAGGTTCCCACTGGGGTCCACGATGGCATTGATGACTGCAGGTTGGAGGTCAGGAGGGTCAGGCCACAGAGGGTCCAGCAGCAGGGTGGCCCAGCAGCCTCCCCCTCTCCTGCCCCAGGGCTGGGCCTCACCTACCTTCCAGCTGCTTCTGCACTCTCCGCAGTTCCTTCAGGATGGAGCTGATCTCCTGGGGAAGAAACAGTGAGTGGGTGGAGCAGGACCACTGGGGCATCCCCTGCCAGGTCTAGGGGGGGGCGGGACCCTGCCTGACCCTGCCCACCCAGCCTCACCTTGTTTGACGTCTTCAAGATGGGCACCTCATTCTCGGCGTTGATCCTGGCCTCCAGGTCCTCCCATGCCCGGCCCGTGTTCTGGAACAGGATCCTTCCAGGGGAGGGACAGGACAGAATGAGGATGCAGGGGACCTGGGCGTGACACCTCCCAGACCTCTCCTGCTCACGTGACCCATTCCTGGGCCCCAGAGCATAAGAAGGGCCAGGCTGCTGGTGCTGTGGTCCCCATCTTCGTGCAGAACACTGAGGGACTAGGGAGGGAGGAGGTGGGGTTCTCCGAGCCCAGGTTCTGCTTGCCGCGTGGGGCCGGGTTCAGGTGAGCAAGCGCACCATGTGGCCCCGCAGGCCACGGCCCGACAGGGTCTCGCCCACCTACCACATCAGCACCTGCCTGAGGGCCAGACTCACTTCATCTTCTCAGCAAGATGCTCCGTGTTCTCGCGGATGGCATGTGACAGCTGGGACACAGGATTCAGCATCAGGTTATCGAAGATCACCTGGGAAGACCCGGGCATTAGCATGGCCCAGCAGTGCCCAGGTGGCCCTGCTCACTCCTTGCACCCAGACAGCCGGTCAAGACCCCGCGAGCATGGCGGTGGGGCAGGAGGGGACCTGCACCTCCTCGCGGCTCCGAGGCCGCGTCTTGTTGGCCAGGGCACCCTCTCGGTTGTCGTTCATGTTCTGGTCGAAGTCCCGAGAGTTCATGGAGCCAGGTGGCACCTTCTGGAAGTTGAGGCTGGCCTCTGGGATGCGCTGCACCAGCTGCAGAGGGGCAGGGCGGGCAGCATTGGCACGCCTGGCGGAGGGCAACCACCAAAGGGTGGAAGGAGCAGCCCCTCTGCTACAACAGGCAGAGAGCATGAGGGGCTCTGCCCGCTCAGTGCCCCCGGCGCCTGCTCCCTCGGATGGGGGCAGCTGAGCTTCAGGTGTGTTGGCCTCCCCAGGCCATGGCCTCTTGTGGGGGTGGATGGCAGGGGGTCAGCCCAGAGGGTCTGAGCTCAGGGTGTGCAGGACTCTCCCTTGGTAGCAGGTACTGCCCCTGGCACATGCACCCAGGAAGCCAGGGCTTACCTCCTCACGGGCGGAGATGGTTGAGGCGGGGGTGCTGGGCACATTCCCAAGAGAAGGACTGCGGGTGGGCCCTGGTGAGCCCAGCGAGTCACCGTCTCCAGCTACGTCGTGGATCTCCTGGGCCAAAATAGCCACGTCCTTCACCAGGGTCTGGCTTAGCCTGCAGCCGGCAGAAAGGACAGGTCTGTGGGGGTCCTCATGGAAACTCGCGCCATGGGGAAGGGGCAGCAGGAGCCCACGGGCCTCGAGGTTGCCCCCACCTGATAGTGCACTTCCTCCAGGCACAAGTGGGACCCTGCCACGTTGACGTGGCACTGGATGGGGGACAGGGGCCTGGGATATGCAACCCCCCACTCTGGCCCCAAGCCATGGCAGCAATGGAATGGGCCAGAGCCCCACCAGGAGGTTCCACTCACCACTGCCCTGGGGAGGGACAGGGGGGGTCTGCCAAGAGGAGGGCAGTGCCCCCCCTGCTCCTGGGCAGGACTGGGCATGGTGGCTGCTGGGTGTGGGTGCGACTCAGCCACAGGGTGTGTGGGGCACAGGAGCACCCCTGCAGGCAGGAGAGCTGAGGCAGGGAAAGGGTGGACCGCCATGGCAACTAGAACTTGGGGTTCCTAACACCCTGGGGGAGAGCTGGGCAGAGGGTGGGGGCAGAGACCTGTTGGGGGTGGACGCTGTTCCCTGGCCCTACCACCCACATGGCCTTAGCTGGGGCCACACCCTGGTCCTGGGGCCCATGGAGGACCGGGTCTCTGTCCCCAGCTGTCACAGGGTCTCCACTACCTGCCCCTCTGTGACCAGCAGTGCCTCTGGCCCATGCCCCAAGCTGGGCTGTCTGATCACTGCCCACCAGGACTGCCTCACTGGTCCCACCCCACATCACAAGAACAATAGAAGGACGTCCCTCTGACATGGGGACGTGCCTTGTCTGCTGCTGTGGGCCCTCTCTGCCCAGGGACACACTGGCACTCAGCATCCCCCCGCCCTTCGCCTCGCCCAGGTACAGTGCCTCCATCCAGGGACCACACCTCTCTTCTGGGTGGCCAGACAGTCCCCATGCTCTGCTCAGGTGGCATTATCCAAGGGAGAGCTCCGCCCCAGCCCTCCTCTCTCCCAGCCCCCGACACACCTACTCCACAGTGGCTTCAGCTGCCATCCCTGCCAACATGCCTGTGTCCCCCATCTTCTTGTGGGTCACTCTCTGGAGGGCCACCTGCCTCTCGTCAACTTCGGGGTGCCTCAGGGGCTCTCAGGCTGAGCATCAACAAAATACGTGGCATCCACCTAGGTCCAGGACCTCACCTGTCCCTCCATAAACCTTTGAGGCCCAGCCTTTGTGGCACTGACCACTGCTCAGGGGAGACCATGTTCACTCCACTTATCTCCCCGCACCGTCCTCCCATCATCTGGGCTGGAGACCGACAGCTGCTGAATGTCCACGTGAGGAAGCTCATTTCTAATAAAAACACTGGGGTGCCCTCCTTGTTCCTGGGGTCCCTGATCCTCATGGGCAGATCTCATTCATCCACTGCCCGCCCAAGCATTCTCCACATCTACCTGGGGCCAGGAGGAGAGCCCCAGTCCAGCCCCTGCCGGCTCTTGGCCACTCACCTGGCTATCTCCGCGATCTCTGCTGTCTGCACGATGAAACCATAGGGGTCAGGCTCCTCCTCGTCATCAGTGTCCCGGAGGCCGGGGGCCCGGGGGCGAGCACGGCCAGCACCGCTGGCCCGGGGGGTCTGCGTGGCTGTTGAGGCGTGGGAGCGCGAGTGTCTGGGGGAGCCGTGGTGGGAGCCGTACTCCTCCTCGGAGGTGGACGTGTAGTCCGAGCCCTGCTGCCGGCGACGCGCGTCTGGGATGAGTGGGTTGGTTCAGGAGCAAGAACAGAACAGAGCAAGCTCAGCACCCATGCACCCCCGGGGCCCTTGAGGTCCCCAGACTGCAGGACGACTACAGCTGGAGCCCATACCCAGAAGCTCTTCAGCAGAGCACCAGCAGTCGCTGAGCTGCAGGGAGCACAGGCCAGCACCAGCCACCACCTGCCCAGAGAACACGTGGGCTGAGTGGCCAGGTACTCCCAAGTCCACCTCAGTGACCCAAGTGACATCTATCCCTGATGAGACAGGAACCAGTCCAGGACAGCAGGGAAAGGTGCTGAGCCGACATGGACGATGGGGGTGGACCTCCCCTGAGGGTCAGCCACACAGGGTTAGGGCACAGGGTGAGCCCAGGCACGCCCCTGGGCAGGGTCCTGGCTCTTGACCCAGCCCTGAGCTGAGGCTCTGAAGCAGGCTCTGTGGCTGGGGTTGGGCGCCTGAATGCCTGCGAGCATGGAGGTGTGACATGGAGTGACAGTGGGTTCTGCCAGGCAGACTTCCTGCCAGTGCACCCAGCAGCCATGGGTGGGTGGCAGGTAGTGGGGGCAGGTGGGCCAGCCCTGGGCAGGGCAGTGCGGCCAGAGCAAGGGCAGAGCTGCAGCTCCTCAGCCTCAAACCAATCTACTCCATGAGCACAGCTCCCCTGCAGGTCAGCAGAGGGCAGCTGTGTGTGTGAGGACCCTGTCAGGGAAGGCGGGCAGCAGCTCCAGCGGCCACTGTCACCTGTCGCTGGACACATGGGCCTCGGGTGCAGGGTGGGTCTCTCATGGGGGTCTGACCCAGCCTTCCCTGGCGGAGAGGTCTGTGGGCTCGGAAGGCTGTCAGAGAGCCTCCCACCGACGGCACAGGCATCCAGTGCTCTCCCCTGGGCTTCAGCCACAGCAGCACGGGGAGCAGAGGACCACGGAGAGCCCCCCCAGGTCCCCCAGGCCCTGTGGTGGCTGGCTCAGGAGTCACAGGAGGACTCAGCTAGAGTGTAAGAGCGGCAGGGCCAGCCCCTGGGCCCAGTGGGGAGATGGGATGTGCCCCTTGTCCCCAGGGAGGTCAGAGTCATCTGCCTGCACGGGGGGGGGGGGTGTGGTGTGGTGGGGGGCAGCAGGGACACTGCAAGTCGGCAACACAACCTCCAGCTCTGGGAGCAAGGGCTCCCCTGGCTGCCACGGGGCAGGCAGTCGCTGGAGGCCGCCCTGGTCCCGGCCCGCTCGCCAGCCCGCCAGCCCGCCACCCACACTCACTGGAAGAGTATCTGGCGCTGCCTGGGCGAGCCCGGCTGAAGGGCTGGCGGGAGCCCGCAGGGGTGGCAGGGGTGGCAGTGGCGGCGGCGGCGGCGGCCTTCCTGGCAGCGGCGCGGGCTTCAGCCATGGTGGGCTTGCGGCTGGTGGAGTACAGCTCGACACTGCGGCCGGAAAAGCCTGCGCGGGCCGGGGCTGTCTCAGAGTCGCTGGGCCCTGTGAAGGAGCCTGCCCGCTTCCGGGGCATGGCCAAGATGTCCAAGCGCGACAGCTTCTTGGCCTGCTCAGGAGCTGGCCGGCCGGCTGGCTCGGAATTGGCCGGGGGCCCCCGTTCACTGTCCATGGCCTCGGTGTCTGAGGTGTCCCCCAGTCGGGCTCGTCTCAGGCGGGAGGCCCGAGTGGGCCGGGGGGTGGACAGGCTGTTGGAGCGGGTCAGTGCCTGATGTACCTTCTGGGCACTGGTGGAGCTGCGGTTCTGCTCTTCCCGAGCAGCGGGCGATGGCGGGGGGGCCACTGGCTTCCGACGAGGTCCTGGCCGACCTGCCCCAGTGGCCTCCGGGGTCTCATGGTTGGAGATGACCAAGTCTGAGCTGGATGGGTGGGTGAGGCCAGAGCCCCGCTCATCATCAGGCCAGTCCAGGGACCCTCGGGGCCCATGGCCCCGCCGTGCAGCCAGGCGTCTTGGGGGCTCCCCGCAGCCCAGGTCTGCTGGGCCTGGTGGGTGCTGCTGCTTCTCGGACAGCTGTTCCCGGGTGCTGCTCTGGGTGGCACCCCCAGGGTCTGGCACTGCTGGTGGGGAAGGCAGCTTCTCCTGTCGCCCTCGGGGCTGGGGGGTTGTTGGACTGGGTCCATTCTTGCCACTGAGCAGGCTGACGGTGCTGGCCGTGTCCACATCTGAGTCCCCAGACAATGAGTCCTCTGGGGGCCTGGGGGTGCTGCCCCCCTCCCCCTCTCCCTCTGCAGACTTGGAGAGCAATCGTGCCTCCAGGGCCACCAGGGCCGACTCGGTCTCCTTCAAGATCAGGTGGGTGTCCTGTGAGTGGCAGTCCATACGTGAGGCCCGGGCTGCAGCCAGGTCCTGTAGGAGGGGGTGACTGGAGACGTGCGGGAGCTTGCCAGGTGCAGGACAGCTGCTGGCCGGCTCCTTGGTGAAGCTTTCCTGCCGCACAAAGGCCACAGCTTCCTTGGGAGGGGGCAGGCAGGGGCTGTGGGGCTCTGGGGACGGCCCAGTGTGTAGCTGGATGACCATCCTCCCGCTGGTACTGACATAGAGGCCATCGCTGGCTGGGGGGCTGGTCTGGGCTGCCCGACCAGGGCCCTGCACCTCCCCAGGAGCCACGTACGGCTTCTGGGAGGAAGTGGCCTCCCTGCTCTGGCCTCCAATGAAGAAAGACGTGGGGGCCGGCTCCCCAGGAGTCCTGGGTGAGCGCCGCGTCCCAGCTGGCCCCTCCTGGGGGCCCCTGCGTCTCCCCTCCAGCTGCTCTGCGCCTGGCTCTGGGACCCCGTCCGACCCGCTGGCATCACTCAGGCTGTCGGGCTCCAGGTCCTCCTGTCCCACGGGGTAGCTGGCCGGCTCTCTGCCCAGGTTGGGTGGCCCGGGCCCACTCCTTCTGGCAGCCTCGTGGCCTGCAGGACTGGCAGCCCTGTTGCCCGGTAGCCGTGGGAGCAGTCGCCGCGTGCGAGCAGGCAGGGGCCCCTCGGCTTCTCCAGCCCTGGGCCCAGGGCTGTCGTCTGCAAGGCACAAGGACAGCCGGTTAGAGCGCCTGCAGGTCTGCAGCCCTGAGCACGCGGCCCCACCCTGCTCTAGCCCAGGACAAGGCAAGCCAAGAATGTGGCCGGTGGCCTGAGGCTGTCCTGACCTGGCCTCCACCCCATGGCCTCCCTGGGTCACATACCTGGCAGACCTGGGTCTGAGTAGCTGTCGGCCAGGCTGGCCCAGCGAGATACCCACTTCTGAGCCCCAGGGGAGCCCGGAACCAGGAGGCCCTGCAGAAAGAAGGGCAGGAGTACGTGTCCACAGCATGGGCAGCACACATCTGGAGGCCAAGGGCCAGGAGGGTATCCACTTGTGCTACCTGCACCTGCCACATGCACCCCCAGGCACAGACAGCAAGGTGACCCCACTCTCACGGTCTCACCTGGGCCTGTATCAGCCCATCATGAATACCCACTGGGCAAGCTCTGCCAGAGGGGCAGAGTTGGGAGTCAGGGCTCAGCTCTGGTCAGCAGCTGTGGCTGTGCCCTGACCCTTGGCTCCATCAGTCCAGTCTAGGGCAGCCCATGCCCCTGGTACCCAACTCAGCTTGGCCTCAGAACCTGGCCCTGAGCCCTCCATGCCAGAGCCCAGTCCAACTGCCCTGGGAGCCTGCCCTAATCAGAGGCCTGCTGACCTCGGGCCCCAGGCCCTCTCTGGAGGGCCACCTGGGCTCACACCTGGTGCTCCATCTGGGGTGCCAAGCCTGGTGGCCGGGAGGCAAACTCCTGCAGCAATGCCATGCGCTGGGCCACACCCTCATCACTGGACTCCTCTCTGTCCCCTTTGATGACTGGGCGAAAGGTGGCCGCTGACACCCTGGAGAGTTCGGGAGACTCGAATACCCCAAATACCTGCAAGGAGACAGCACTGAGGGTCAGAGGTGCCTGGTCCCACTCCTACTGGAGGGGACAGGGCAGAATGTAGCTGGACATGTCAAGTGGGAAATGGGCCCAGCTCCAGCCAGGTAAGAGGCTGGGACAGGGCTGCTATGAGGCCTCCTGGAGCCCCTCCACCCAGGTGGACTAGGCATGGGGCCAGAGGCCTGGAGCAGACCAGTGGGAGTGCCCTCCCCCCGTGCCCCATGGGCACTCTCCTAGCTGCTATGGCACCTGGTCAATCATTTTGCGGGCCTCCTCCACCTCCCTGTCCTGGGCCTCTGTCTCGATGGTGTAGGTGCCCGCATCACTGAGGCTGTCCTCCTCCTCCTGTCTGCGTGCCTTGGTGAGCTGGGGGTCTGTGGGAGGTGGTGGGGGTGTTGGGGGTCCCACGGGGCTGGCCCCTCGGGGTGTCAGGGGGGCAGGCAGCACTGGGGGCACCTTCTCGGGGCCAGGCCTGGTGGATGGGGAGCTCTCCCGCAGACACTGGGCCATGAAGTCCTGGGCCAGGCGGGAGCGGCGCCCCACGCTGCCAAAGGGGCGGGCAGGTGCCCGGGGGGCGGGCGAGGTGCTGCCCAGCCGCTCCTCAGTCTTCTCGCGTTTGAGTGAGCTGGCTCTCTGTGGTCCCGAGCCGCCGCCTGCCATGCGGGTGGGAGCACCCGGGCGCTCCCTGTCGGCAGTGCCCGGGCCTCGGCGCCTGTCGGGCTTGGGCTCCCCGGCAGGCGTGTGTGTGAAGGACTGAGAGCGCTTCTTGCGGGGCGTGTCCTCGTCAAAGAACTCAATGACAAAGGCCTGCTGGTTGTGCAGCAGCTCCTGTGGGTCCCGCTTGATCTGCCTCTGCAGCCGCACCTGCTCCCCGGAGCCCTCGGCAGTGGCCCCGGCCCCCGTGGCCGCCTTCCCCAAGGGGTCCTCGGAGTCGCTCTGTGTGCCATCCTCATGCTTGTGGCCTGGGGGGGCAACTCATCAGGAGACAGCACTCAGCCCAGAGGCCTCGCTGCCCTGGACAGAGGTGAGCCATCACACGTGGTCTCACGTGGGGAAGGGCAGGGCAGGGCACCCCACATGCAGGACCCTGCCCCTCAGGCCCGTGGTTCTCGGGAACTCATCAGTGAAACCGACCAAGCTGATGGGGCCCATCGCTGGCATGGTGGATGTGCGGCCACCCACAGCCCCCACCCGCTAGCCCCTGGGCAGCACTCACCCTTCAGGGTGCGGGTGTGGATGGGCAGGTCACTCTTGGTGCTGTGGCGGTCATCCCCGGGGCCGGGCCGGCGCAGTAGGCTGGGGTCATTCTGCACCAGCCAGTCGGCCACCTTGGTCTCGGCCGAGATGGCCTCCACATGCGTGGGCTCCTTGCTGGGCGGCCTCCGCTGCCGCAGGGAGAACTTGGTGATGTGGTCCTTGATCTTCAGCTTGCCGGGGCTGCCAGCGTCGAACTCAATGGTGAAGGAGGCGTGACTCTGCACCACAGGGGCTGCGCCCTCACCCCCCTCCTCGTCCTTCGTGGGCACCTCGTGCACAGGTGTCTCTGGGGGCCGTGTGGGCTGCGGGGCCTCCTTTGTGGGGATCTCGAAGTAGCTGGGCTCCCGCCGGAGCGAGTAGCCCTGGGGCTCCACAGGTGCACGGAAGCCATCCAGCTCTCCATCCCGCTGGGCCGCCTCCTTGGGACGCTCTGGGGGGCAGTGTTATCAGACCAGGCCTCGGGGCAGCCACCCTCTGCCACCATGCCCGTCTCCCCGCAGGGCCCAGCCGTCCCCACCCCGCGCCCCCTGGGAGTGGGGAGGCGTGTGCCAGTGTGGGGCCCACCTGGGCAGGGTTCCTCCTGGCGCCGGTCCTCGGGTGTCGTGCCACCGTCGTCCTCACCCCACCAGGAGGGCTGCCCATAGAGGGGCGTGCGGTAGGCCACTGCCTCTGTGGGGGGAGTTGAAAACTCTGGGACTGGAGCTGGGGGACAGGCGGGGCTCTGGAGCGGGCCCTGGCATCACCTCCTGGCTCAGACTGTGCTACTGAAGACCCTGCTGGCAGCTCCCTGCTCTGAGCCACATGCCTGGGGAGGGACAACTGCCTGCAGGGCCTTATCCCTGCCTGAGCCTCCTTGGGAGTGGCCATGCAGGAACTATCCCTAGGGGTATAGTCCTCCACAGCCCATCCCTGGGGCAGGCAATCTGGTCAGCCCTGGCTGGCCCTCTGCTCCTGGAGCCTGCCCAACACCCCCTTCTGGCCACGAATGCTCTGTAGATGGCTTGTCACCCAGGCCCACGTGGCACCTGGGTGCTTTGGAGCACTGTTTTATGTCTGAACACTGGCCTCCGAGGTTAAAGTCACAGCTCATGTGAACTCTGGTTTTCTAATCCCTGCTTGCACTGGTTCTGCCAGTCAGCATGGTGGCTGCGAGGTAGCAGAGGGTCTGGAGGCCAGGCCACCGTCCAGTACCCCATGCTCCTGTGGTGAACCTCCCTGGGCAAGTGCCCCTCCCCAGGACCTTCCTTGACCCAGCACAGCAGCACACATCTGCTTCAGGGCAGCCCTTCCCTGGTATCTGGCCCAGACCCTCTACTGCCCCTCGGGGCTGAACCACCTTCCTGCCCAGCTGACTGCTCTGAGCCACTGTCACCAGCTGTGTGTATTCACAGCCTGGACGCGGACAGGTACTCCAGGCGGCTCAGATGACTTTCTGGAAACCTTCCCAGTTCCAAAAGACAAGCTTGGGCTGGGCTCCAGAAAGCAAAAGGTGTGCAGCTGCCCCCCAGCCGGACGCTGGCTGCTCACAGCTCCTTGCTGCAGATGTGCAGGCCAAGGCTGGGGGGAGGACAGGCAGAGTCCCTGGACACACCCCCTTCCATCTCCACCCCGCATGGCCCGCACACCCAGCCAGGTGCTCTCTCAGGCCTCCCAGTGCTACACCCTCCCCCTGTGCCCACCCAGAGCTGGGTGGCAGCTATCATCTCACGCAAGACACAACCAGGTTTTGTGGTGGAGGCCCCCCAGCCCCCGGTGGCTCTGTGGTGTAGAATTGCGTCCAGATGTCTGATGCTGGGCAGTTTAGCCTCCGGCATCCACATTCTGCCTGCCTCTGACCTGCTTGAGACCACATGGGTGGCCAGTTGGTGGCCCACCAACTGCAGACCTCTGGGAAGTGGTGTGCCTGGGCAGGTGTGTACAGAGTGAGGGTGCAGGTATGTACGGGCACCTGAGCCCGTGCACAAGGAGGCAAGGTGTGCCCTAAGTGCGCAAGCTGGGGTGCAGGGTCATGCAGGGAGGGGAGGAGGTACACTTTGGGGGAGGTGGGGTACAGTGGGGAAGGACAGGGCATGATGGGGGGAGCTGTGGGAGAGGAACATGGTGTGAGGATAGTCACTAGGTGGAGGAAATATTGTGGGTGCATGGTGGATGGGACATGAGGATGGTCCACCCTGTCCCTGTTCATCACCAGCCCAAGGCCTACCTGCTCCAGGTCTCCGGTCCCCCTTCTCTGGCCTGGGATGCAAGGACTCGCAGTAGGGTGTGTGCTCGGGCAGTGCCTCGCCTTTCTTGGGTGCTGGGCCCTTGACGCTCACCTGCAGCTGGCTGGTGTACTTCTCATGCTACGGGCAGGCCGGCAGGGGTGAGGGGTGGGCACCAACATTGGGATACAGCCACCCAGGGAGGACCCAGCCTCTCCCTCCCACTTGGACAGAACATGAGACCTGCCCATTTGGGCAGCTCAGGATCCACACCACAGGCCACAGAGCTTTGAGGGCCAGCTGGGGTTTGCTCTGATGGGAGGTGGCAGGCAGGGACACCAGCACAGAGTGCCTGGACACTGCCATCTCCAGGCCCCACCAGAAACAGGTCCAGGTGGCAGGGTTTTAAGTGCAGGGGTCCTCAAGGTTTGGGACCAGAGACACATGTATACTGGCAGAGTGGGCTCACAGGCCCTGCTGCTCTGGCTGTGCGACCTCATGCTGCCCATGGTCATTTGAAAAACAGGCTGAGGATGGTCCACCCACTGGGCTCCTGGCTGAGCTCTGAGCAGGTTCCCACACACCTGTGCCCCCAAACAAACAAGCAAGGGCAGAGGGGACACCTGCCTCCTGTGGCTCCCCAGGTCCCAATGAGGGCTCTGCACACATGACCCAGCATAATCAAGGGCACCTGCTCAGAAGGTGCTCCTGTGGCCTCCACATGTGTGCCTCCTCTTGCCCTCCTGCTCCTGGCCTCCACAGGACCCTTCTCATACCCAAGATGCTGGTGGGCCCTGGGTGGCCACAGGGGTCCAGCTTCTTGCCCCACCGTTGGTGTACTCTGCTCCCAGTGAGACTTCTGTTCCAACGGGTGACCTCAGCAGCCCCTGTCTGGGCTCTTGGCCACCTACCCAGCCTTAGAGGTCTGTCCTCTGAGCCACAGAGCCAAGCATCATAGGGACTCACAGCCTCCGTCCTCTCAGTGGTCCTGATTGCGGCAGGCTGATGGCTCAGCCTTACCCCACCACTCCCTCTTCAGCTGCCCCACCATCTGCCACTGCATATGCCTGGAGAGTAATGGCTACTTCCTCACCTGCCAGACTGGGCTCTCTGGCAGGGCAGGACAGGTCAGACTGATTCATGGGACCCACAGCCAGGATCTGGGCCTGGGGAATGTATGCCAGGGAGATAAGGCAGAGGAGGCAGAGACGGGGGGTGGGATGGGGTCAAGGTCTCACGGCCAAGGAGTCCAGGACTGGACCTGCTCGGTCCTGGGCTCACCGGCACTAACCTTGAGTGCCTCCTCAGGAACACGGTGCTGCACACGCTCTAGCACGTACATGTTAGAATGTGGACTTAGGTTAAAGAGAACACAGAGCAGAGAGAGCTGGGAGGACGTGCACCCAGAGCATGGGGGCCAGTGTGGGATGCATGCCCAGGGTGCATGGGCCAACTCAAGCCCAGCCAGAGCTCCCTAGCCATGTCCCACATGCTCAGAGCACAGGACATCCAGCCTGAAGAGCTTGCGGTCAAGCCAGGACCCTGGTTCCAGGGAGTGGTCACTTGATCCGCAGCCCTATGTGACCTCGGGCTCAGCAAGTAGGCTGGCATAGGCCTAGACAGGGACGGGAGCTCCCTGGGTCCCCAACAGGAGGTGGAGCCCAGCCGTGGGCACGGTGCTCTTGAGTCCCCAGGCCCTGGCTGTGAATACTAAGGCCCTTACACAGTTCTGGGACGAACTGTGATCCTGGTTCCGGAAGGAGAAGTCCAGAGGAGGGGAGTTTCTCAGGAAAAGGATATCGTAGCCAAAGCGGATGACATCATTGAGCTTCAGCGTGACATACTTCTGATCTGGGATGCGCACATCATTCACAAATGTCTGTGGAGGAACAGGGCAGTGCTCTGAGCCGTGGGGTCCGCCAGGGACAGCTGCCGAGGCTCTGCAGACCCTCCCTGCTGACCTGTGTCCCTGGCTGACCTCAGGGTGCCACAAACAGCCTACAGCTCTGTGGACATTAGAGCCCAGTCAGGTAGCTGGCCCTCCAGGGCCCAGGAGTGCAGATCAGGTCAGCACCCGGGGGGCCCTCTCAAGCCCATGCAGGTAACAGAGGAACACCTGTTATTCATGCAGCCCTGTACAGGTGGGCTGCCCCATCTGGTGAGTGTGCTTAAGGGGAGGGGCTCGAGGCAGACCCCAGCTGGGCCTGAGGCCCCCTTGCTGGGAGCATGTTGAGAGGCTGCAGAGGGTAGGACCCCGTGCTTGTAGGAGGCTCACAGTGTAGGTAGGGCCTGAAGCCATGGTGGGACCCCGATTCACAACTGCATGGGTGGGAAAAGGATGCACCCTGATGGCTTGTTTTCTTATTAAAATAGCATCCCAGGATGGCCCACGTCCACCAAACAGAGATCCCAACAGGTACCTCCAGGATCAACACCTGTGGCCCTGTTCTTCCATTCCACACACCGGGCTCTTCTCCGCCAACCCTCCCAACTCCTGCAACCAGGGCCTCCCTCGTGGCCACCTCCCTGCTCCTGCCAGTGACAACTCATGGAAGGGAAGGTCACAGAACTCCCATACCCAGAGAGGGCACTTGGGCATGGGTCCTTCCATGGAGGTACACTTCCCAGCCCTGTCTCCTCTATCGCCTGAGGTGTCCACTCACCGGGAAAAAGCCACGCCACCCCTGGAGGTCAAGTCCTAGCCAGTGAAAGCCCTTCTGGCCTCTAGCAGAGAGGAGGATTCCTCCCTAGGGGAGCAGGAGGCTGGGAGTAGACTGGGGAATGGGGGTGGGGCCAAGCTAGGAAATGAAGGAAGGGGGCAGAGCTGAGGGGAGGGGCCAAGGACAGGAGATGAGGCAGGGCCAGAGCTGAGGGGAGAGGCCAGAACTGAAGAGTGGGGCCAAAGTAGAGGGGAGGGGCTGGAGCTGAAGTGCCTGGTCAGAGCAGGAGTAGGGGTGCTGCTAGGGCTAAGGGGAGCGTCACTGCAGAGTCCACCACACTTACCCCATTGAGGCTGCCAAGGTCCTTCACCCAGTGCTCGTCACGGTCCTGGTCATAGTTGATGACGGCATGCTGCTTGTCCACACTGCGTGACTGGGGAGGCACAGAGACAGCCTCAGATGCCTCATCTCAAGAGGAGAGGCACCCCTGCGGGCCCACCCAGGGTGGAGCACCCCATGCTGCCTGAACTCTTTAGCAATACCAACACTAACCCCTGAGCCCCCAACCCCTGGCAGAGGGCACCCCTTAATGCCACCAGGACAGGCCACAGGGCATTAGGGCAAGATGCCTAGGCCACTTCTCCCATCCTCTGCTGCCCCCTGGCCCTGCTTCCAGGAACGCCCTCTCCAATGCCCCCTCCCATTCAGCAGTGGGAGCCCATGGGAACCCTGTCATCTGGGACAGGCTGTTCTTCTAAGGGCAGGCAGGGGCGTCCAGCAGAACCCAGAGGAAAGCAGAGCAGGAGACTTGTCTCAGGGAGGGACCTCCTCCTCCTCCTGGCCTTGCCCCACAGGGCACACAGCCTCTCAGTGTGATAGACACATATGCGTGTGAGTCTCAGGCTCACTCCTACGCTGAGAGTCACCCAATTCCACCTCTAGCTGCCACCCACCCTCCACACCCTGGCAGGCCAGGGCCTGGCACCTGCCCACAAACCCCTCAACATACACATGGTACTTCCACCTGAGTCTCAGTTTCCCTGGCCACCAGACTACCCAGGACCACCCCCCTCTCCCTCTCCCTCTCTCTCTTTTTTTAGAGAGAAAGAGAGAGAATTTTTTAATATTTATTTTTTAGTTTTCGGTGGATACAACATCTTTATTTTATTTTTTATGTGGTGCTGAGGATCGAACCCAGCACCCCACGCATGCCAGGCGAGCACACCACCGCTTGAGCCACATCCCCAGCCCCCAGGACCTCTCTTAAGGACAGTCACCCCAGCTCTCTCATGCTATCAGCCTTGACTGGAAGACCAAACTGAGCCCCCATGCTCTACCAGGACAGAAGCAGAGACAGGTCACATTCTATCTACTTAGGGTCTGCCAGTAGGGGCCATGTCACCCAGTCCACAAGGCCATGTGTCTCAAGTCTCAGGTCTCAGCACCCAGCATCCCCACACCCCCACACCACAAATCACGTTGCACAGCTTGGGGCTGTGGGTGTCCGGGTAGTGGCTGCATCCCTGCTGACCCTCTCCCCCATGTGAGAAGCCACAGGCCTGGGGCCCAGCCAGCAGGACCAGCCAACCCTGGGAAACCATCAAGGACAGTGTGTGCTCCAGGTTGCACCCCCGCAGGACACTGAGGTCAGCCTGCAGAGCCCCTGTGGTGAGATTAAGAGCTGGCACGACTGCTCCCTCCTCCCTTCAGGATGGCCCCCAGCCACAAAGGTGGTCCAGGACCTGTGTTCCAGTGGGACCTCCCCCCAAGCTGGTCATTCACACCTATGGCCACTGCAGAGCCCCTCCTCCCTGATCCTCTCCACCTGCCCTGCTCCATCAGTAGATAAGCACTGGAGGCCCCCAGGACATAGCCTCCTTCCTTGTCAGAGTCCAGGGAACACAGCAGGGGCGGGGGGGGGGGGGGGACACAAGCAATGTCACATGGCTTGGCCCAGGGTTAATGTCTAGCCCTGCAGGTGTGCCAGCACAGACCCTAGACAGCACTGCAGCTAGACAGACTGGCCTCCATGCTCCCATAAACACTGCCACTGAGGAGGGAGCACCCAGAAGCCCCAAGGTGTCCAATTTGCCCACAAGGATGGTGCTGCAGTAGAGACCTGGGGAGCCAGAGAAGGGAGCTCGGGAGGGCGGGGCCCAAGCCACACTCTGCACTCTGCCCTCTGTCTTCTCAGGATGTGGGCAGGGTGTGGGGGACAACTGACCCAGGAGCACTGGGTCCTCGGGCAGCCATCTCTGAGTTACCTCCCTTGGCACAGCCCACATCATCCATGGGAAATAGAGGTTGGTGGCTCTGCCAGCCAGTGCCCTCACTGAGAGGCCTCAGGACCAGTCCTGGTCCAACTCACCCACCCCCAGAGTAGCAGGACTCTGGCAGAGGGGGTCAGACCTTGAGCCCCTGAGCCCCACTTCTTCCCCAACCCAGACTCTTCATCCAAAGCTGGCCCCCAGCACCAGTCTCTGCCCTAGAGAGGACAGGCCTGAGGGGCATTCCCAACACTACTCCCTCCACTGGCCTCAGCCTGTTCCCCAAGGCCTTGGACGCTCCTAGTATTTCCTCCTCCTACAGGCCCTGGTGGCCGGCAAAGAGCAGGGGAGGCACTGGCTGGGGGACACGGGCACTCCTTCCTCTGGGCATTACTCCCCCAGGGAGGAGGGCCATAGGGTGGAGGGCCTTGAAGCCCTCTAGGGGAAAGTGGGTACCTGACGCGCAGACCATTTGACTGCCCCTCTGGGCAGCCCTGAAAGACAGGCACATGGTTCCTACTCGGAGCCCACACCAGCAGCCAGAGGCCTAGGGCTCTGAGATGGGCTGGAGGCTCACCTCTGCCTGCCACCCCGCCATCTATACAGGCCAGCTCGCTGACATTCAGAAGGAACCCTCCGCCTCAGAAAAGCAAAGCCTGAGCCTGAGAGCTGGGCTCTGACCCCTCCTTGGGCTAGGGTCTGGAAGGGGCATGGGGGAAGAGTATGGCCTGGGGGCTTCTGAGGCCACCTGCTCTCACCTGAAGGGTGCCCAGGACAGTTCCGGGCTCTGCTGGCCTGAGGTGAATAGGATGGGCAGCTTAGACACTGGATTTGCTGAAGACTGAGCCTTGGAAGGGCTTCCACCTGAACTTCCCAACCTATGACGCCATGGGCCTGCTGTCCACAAGCCAGCCTCCCTGGACACCCTCCAGGCCCTCCCCAGGAGCGCCAGCCCAACATACCCCTTGCCACTCCCAGGCACACACACCACTGGTCTTCATCCTTAGTCCTCAAGCTGTGGCCATACCATGGCACTCCCCCCATCTGCCCCACCCCCACCTGGCCCTTGCCAGCATTTTGATCTTGTTACTCTGCTGCTGAAACTTTCCGGGACTGTCCCTGGCCTGGGAGGAACAGTGGCCTTGCCTGAGAGCCACAGGCCCTGGGGACCTCTCCTTGCCCTCTCCCTGCCAGTCCACCATCTGGCTTTGGTCACACCATTCTGGGGACTCTGAAAGCGTCATCATTGAGACCCTCGCCTGGCCCTGGTCTTAGCCCACATAATACTCTCTGTCCAGGCTCACCACCTTCCCTGTCCCCAACACCTCCCCTCTCCCAGAAAGATGCTTCCCCCACCTCCGGTTCCCAGTTTCTGGACTCAACACAGGGGTCCCACCAGCCCCCAATCACACCTGGGCCTGGGCTACCCACGTACTCCCAGGTCTGACCTTCTCCTGCTGGCCAGGGCCTTGTGTCAGACACCCTTCTGCCATGCCCCTCTCAGATCACAGAAGTTCCAGGAACTCGTGTCCCTCTTCCAGAAACCTCCCTCCCAGCCACGACACCTCAGACCAGAAGCAGACCCCCACCCTGCCAAGCCCACATGCTCAGGGGCTAGAAGCCAGCCCACCCATGAGAGGCAGCTCCTGGCCCAGGGCTCAGACCTGAAGCACACAAACCAGGCCTGCAGGAAGGGAGACCAGAGTGCGAGGCCACCAGGGGCTTCGGAGTTGGAGAAAAGGTCTAACAATTTGTACTCAATTAAAAACGGAATAAAGATATGTCTCCCAAGTTTATGTCTGATGTTCCCTGTAGAGGAGAGCCCTGAACTGGCTGTGCTGACCCTAGTAGTGGTCACAACCCGAAGTTCAGGCACACTCTCCTGCCAGCTCATCCCGAGTGTCACCACAGTGAACCTGCAGCAGGCTGGCTGGACTTGCTGCCAGCAGGGGCTCCCAAGGCTACTCTGATTGTGGTTTCTGGTTCAGGAGGAAATTGTCCGAGTCCCAGCTGTCATACTTGCCCATGGGCAGCATGGTGGAGGCCAAGAGGACAGAAGACACTTCCCCACGAACTGGCAACACACACGCACACACACGTGCGACATACGAGTACTCACACACACAGACACGTGTGCGCAGGCCTCCCGGCCCCCATGCTCATCCTCCTCCCCTGAAGGGGCCCTCCTGCCTGGCCCCTCTGCCACTCTTGCTGATCCCCCCTGCTCACACTGTGGGCCTGGTCAGCCCTGGAGCCCCAGTCCTGCCCGCAGTGCTGCCTTCTCTGCACCTCTCCCCATATGGGGGTGAGCGGGGACATCTCACTGATGGATGACATGTTTGTGCCCAGCTCCTGCCTGGAGAGGACAGCACGGGAGCACTTTCTGGGCCCAGAGAGGAGGCCTAGGGCACTCCAGGAGCCAACGGGAAGGCGCTGGCTAGTGGGCTGGGGTGGGGACTGATAGAGTCCACATGGGGAGGTAAAAGTGGAACCAGGTCCCCTGGGAAGCCAGGGCAGGTGTGGGGGCTGGGACTCCTGTCTGTGAATGGGGTGGGAGGGGCACTCAGGGACTCGGAGTGCGGGGTGAGGGGCAGGAAACAGTGGAAGAGAAGGGGCCAGGCTGAGCCCAGGTGCAGGCCTCTGAGAGCGCTGGTGCAGCTGTGGCGTGGGGCCAGAAACTGGAGCCAGGGAGGGTGCGGGACAGCATGTGGTCGCCTGCCAAAGCAGGAGCAGAGGGGCCTGAGGGCCCTCAAGTGCAGGTCCCAGAAAGCCACGGGGAAGGGGATGGTCACACGTACCCAGCTCCTGAGGGCCCAGAGGGGTGGTCAAGGAAAGGCAGCTGGGGAGCCTGCAGCCAGCTGGGATGGGGGCAAGGGCTCAGGTGGGGGTCTGGCCGGGTGGGAGAAACACTGGGTGGGCTGCTGGTGGAGGAAAGAAATTCCCAGCAGAGGTGGCTCCACGGGGCGTGAGGAGGAAGGGAGGCTGGCCCGACCCAGGCCCAAATGGCATGAGGAAGGGTGACCGAGCAAGGGCCACAGGGGTGAGGACAGGGAAGGGGCAGCTGCCAGGGTACCGAGGGCTGCCACCTGCACTCACCCTGTGCCTGCACCAACTCCTCAAGCTGTCTCCCATGCAAGACGTCACATGGCCACAGCACCCAGGACATGGAGAGCCAGAAACGCAGGCAACCCAGGAGGGGCCACCTGGCAAGAAGACCTGAGAAGCCACCACTGTCCTGCCCTGCTCAGGGCTCTGCCACTCCCAGGCTGAGAAGCAGGACTTGGGCCTCAGCCCTGTCTGGGCACCCCAGCACCTAAGAAGAACAGCAAGCAGCGCCAGGGCAGGGCCACCGAGTGCCTAGGCTAGGTCCCCCGAAACCCCAGGCTCCCTGTGGCTCCTCTCAGAGCCCTCCTGGCCACCAGGGGGAATGGCAGGGCACACCCTCATCACACCTGAATCAGGGCCATGCAGCTCCACGCCACACTGTGGAGCAACCCGCAGGTCAGGCTGGGGCTACTCTCCAAGGCTGGGGACACAGCCTGAGCCCCCACATCTTACACAGTCTTGGTGCCTTTCAGTGAGTAAAAGTCATCACCAGATGGCTTCATAGCACAAGAAAATGATTCGAGGTGAGTGTTCCACACACGGCCTTGCCTGTCCCTGTGGCTGTCTTTGAGCGACACACCCCTGCAGGGGCAGTGGGAAGCATTGGCCTGCTGCTCCTGCACACAGCTGCTGACATGGTCTGACCACCTACAGAGGCACCAAGAGGGTAAAGGGCAGAGAATAGTCTGGGCCCAAGGAATAACCTGAGGCGTGCCAGGTGCAGACCCAGGCACATGGGAGGACATCTGTTGAGAAGCCACCGTCTGGCTCAGCCCTCTCTGCCCTAGGACAAGACACCGCAGACTGGGTATTTGTAAACTACGGAGACATCACTCACGATGCCAGAGGCGGGAGGGCCAAGATCACGGTGCCTGAGACCAAGGGCCCTGTCTGCTTCAGTCCTTTCTTGGCAAGCCCCTACGGGCTTTCTTAAGGACCCTCATCCCATTCATAAGGACCATCAAGTCCTGATCCCACCAAAGGCCCTGCCTCTCAATACCATCACCCTGGGGACATGTTTCTATAGGTGAATTCAGAGGGACACAAACTCAGACACAGCACAGACACAAATGGAGTGTCACTGGGACAGTGCTTTCCCCAGATGGAGGTCAGCAAATATTTGCTGCCCAGGTAAATGTGCTTGTGAGGGTACCCTGCCACAATCCCGGCCCTGCCCACCTGACCGAGCCGGGTGCACCCAGGGAGTGCAGTGGCAGCCAGGGTTGCACATAGGAGGCCACGCCAAACCCAAACGTCCTGGGGGGTGGCAAACTCTCCCTCAGCAGCCCCTCAGCTGAACAGACAGGTTGCCCAATAGGATGTTCTTCTCCTTCTGAAGGTCCCAGGAGGGGCCAGGGCCTGTGTGCATGCTGAAAGGTGGAGTGCAGGTAGGCTACAGGGAGCCCAGCTCATTCAGGAAAGGATATCCCAGGCCAGGATGGCAACACTGCCCTTCCTTCCCAAACAGGCACATGCAGAAGCCCCAAGAAGCCAACCCAGACTCTGAGACCCAGGGCATCCAGAGAAGAATTTCTGATTGCCCAGCACTCCTCCCTACTAGGCCCTTCCCACCTGGGGCACCATTAGGAAGCCCCCAGCTTTCACCTGGACACATAGAGGAACAAGACCACCAGGACCATCCTCAGATAGTTCTGATGGCCGGACAACGAGGACATGGAATACCCTCTTTCCAGCAGCTTCAGCGGTGAGCCCTCGGCCCTCTGCCTGCACAGGGCAGTATCACCTTCCTGGCCCTGATGCTTTGAGGATCCAACGGAAGCCCAGGCACTTTCCCGTAAGAAATGGGCCTGACACACAGAAGCCTGTGCCCACAGCACACTCATGCCCCCCCATTCCTGCCCACAAGAGGCCCCAGAACCCTCCTGTGGGTCCAAGGACCCAGGCAAAGAGGCCCCAAGCCCCCACTCACCTGCAACATGAGCTCACATTCATCGCGTCCCACAAAGATCAGCTCGCGTGGTAGCCGGTGGCGGGTGCCGCTGCTGCTCACCAGAAACCACGACGTGACGCTCATCTTGGTGCTGACGAGGCCTATCTGGCCCTGGAGGGAGGTGGTCATAAGAGTGGGGCTCCCTGGTCTGGGCCTTGGACCCCTGGACACACCTGAGGCCCACCAAAGATCTGCCCATCTAAGCTCAAACTGGTTGATTCCAGAACTGCTGGGCTTCAGCACAGCAGGCCACCCACCCCTCCCAGGCGTGCCTTCAGTCCCACTGCCTTTGTCTTGTATGACCTGCCTCCCCTTGGAGGCCTACCTGTGGACCCCCCAAGTCCTCCCCATCCCCCAGGCCCCACCTATCCCCCTTCTCTCTAGGTGCCAAGGGACAAGGTCCATGGAATGCTGGCTACACTGTCTGTATGTGAACCCACATGTCCACCTGATCCACCAGGAGCACCTCACAGTGACCCCTCAGGGTTCCCAGGACATGAAACCTGAGCCAGAGGGCCCACTTCTCCAGCAGAACTCTCTGGAAGCCCTGACACAAGAAGGCCTCGGGCGCAAGACTGGCTCCATCATGGCTCAGTGCAAAATGTAAGTGCGGTGGCCTCGTCTAGGCTTACGGAGAACTTGTGGCTCTGAGAGCAGAGCATGCACTCAAAGGCGGGGTCTGGGCAGGAGCTTGTACCCAGTGTACACGTTCCTTTCCCAGGAGGCCAGCCCTGGGGCTCCGAGTCCCTGCACATCACAATCTGTTTCATGTAGAGAACAGGTGAAATTAGGAGACAAGTCCAATGGTGATCTGAAGACTGGTCAAGAGGTGAGGGCAACAACCCAGGACAGAAGTGACAGTGCTGGGACCCTGGTGAGTGCATAGGTGGAGATAAAGGCAAGGCCACTGCAAGTAGAGGTGTGGAGGTGGACATGAGGGTGGGACAGAGGTGCTGGGAAGGACTGGAGGTCCTGGAAAGAGCTAGACAGGTGGGGGCCATCGCTAAACTGGGAACAGTCAGGGTCCCCCACAGACCTCCCAGGAAGTGCACAGAGTCTACACATATGAGGTGACACCAGTCACCCCGGCCCTTGGGGCCCAGGCCTTATACTGCAAAGCCCAACATCCACACCAGAGGCTAAGCCCAGCTCTTCACTGAGGTCTCAGTTGCATTCCAGGTGGCCAGTGCAAGACCAACACCATGCTCCACCCATCTGAATGCCCAAGGGGCCATGCATTCCATGTGTACTGTCACCTTGCCCAGCAGGCAGGAAGAGGGAGAACTGTCTGCACCAGGAGGAGGCAGTTTCAGTTCACCAGCACGCCCCTCATTCTGGGACCCCTGCCCTTTCTTAAGGCCCAGCCTCCAGAGAGGAAACCACTGGAGGCCTCAGGGTGAAACTTCAGAGTCTCCAGAGCCCAGACAGCAGATACAAGGCCTCCACAACCCTACCACCCAGAAAGCCCTGATCCTGCTGGGGGAGATGACAGGGCTCTCCAGAGAGCCCCCACCCCATCAGAGTCTCCCAGTCCCCATTCAGCCTCAGGTCTCATTCTCTGCTGTCATCTGCTGCTGGTTCCCTGTGGCCAGCAGACTGGGCCTCTCCCAGAGGAGGCCACAGCCTCTGCCTAAAGCAAAGGGAGGTCAAGCCCCCAGAGCCTGGTCAGGCCGCTCTGCAGGAGCCAGGCCACACACTGTCACCACCAGCCCATCCTGAAAAGGCCTGGGAGTCACCAGAGGTTCCCAGCAGCCTGCCGAGGGTTTGGGGCTGGGCTGGCCTGGCCATGGTTGCCAGGAGGGAGAATAATAAACACCCCAAACTTGTCCCCTCAGCTATCCCAGCCAGAAGGGCCACAGCCCAGAGGGGGGGAGGAGAGGAGGCAGCGATGCGGAGAGGCTGGGGACAGCAACGAAATAGGCTGGCGACTGGAAGGAGCAGGCAGGCTGGAGACAGGCCGAGAGGTGGCAGGGACAGCGAGGAGACGGCGGCGGCGAAGGGAAATGAGGAGAGGAGGAAGACAGAGGGAGGGACAGAGGGAGGAGGCCGGGAGCGGCCCGGCGGGAGCGCCAGGCCTGGAGGGGGAGGGAGCGGCGCCTTCTCCTGAATCAGCGCTGGTCGGGGGCGACCAAGGCCCTGCCGGTGCCAGGGCGGGGACCCGGGCCCAGGCCTGCCCCCTCCACAGGCCTCGTAGACGCGCACCGGGCCAGGCCGCGTAGACACGCGCCGGGCAGCCCCTCCCTGCCTGGCGCAGACCTGGGACGCCTCCGCGGCGGCGGGGACCGGCCTGGCCAGGTGCGCCGGCTGCCCCCACCCCCGCGCCTTTGTCGGGGCCGCTCGGGGACCTCGCTCCCCTCCGTCCTTTCCCCGCGCCGGGTGCGGCCCGAAGGCGCGCAGGTGCCGGCGACTGGAGGCCCCGCCGCGGCGAGCGCGGGCTGGCGCGTCCTACCTGCGGTTTCGCTCGGCCCCCGGCTCGGCCCCCGGCTCGGCCCGGCTCGGCCCGGCTCAGCCCGGCTCGGCTCGGCCCGGCCCTCCCGCCCGGCCGGCCGAGCGCTGGGCGGGGCCGCAGCCTAAGACATGCCCGGCGCGGCCCGCACGCTCGCCGCAGCCCCGGCCGAGCCCACCGGCAGAGCGGCGGCCGGCGACCTCGCGCGGCGGGTCCCTGACGTCTGCGGGAGGCACGCCCCGCCCCCGCCCCGCCCCCGCGGCCCCGCCCCCGGGCACGCCCCGCCCCGCCCCCGCCGGAAACCAGGTTAGGGCGGGGCGGCCGCCCGCAGGTGAGTGCGCCCTCGTGGGCGCCGCCCAGAGGCTCCGCGGGCCCCGCCCCCGCCCCGCCCCCCGCCCGGCTGCCCCGGGCCCCCAGCCACCGGTCCCCAGCCCCGCGGCCCCCTGTCCGCGGCCCCCGGCTCCCTCACCCCGCCCCCGCCCACCTGCCCACCTACCCCGTGGGCTGCTCCCAGCCCCACTCCCCTCCGGTCTCCGCCCCACCCCGAGTCTCAGCCGCGCGACCGGTCCCTGCGTACTGGGCGGAACCCGGTTTGCAGAGCAGCTCAGCGTGCTGGCACTGGGCCTGCGGGTTAACGCTTAACCTCGCTTCTGGAGCCCAGCCGCATCCCTAGCCCCCAACCTTTGGCCCCAACTGTCCAAACGAGGGGTAGAGGGTGAGGGAAGTCGGGTGAATCCCAGAGGCCGACTCAGCCCGATCGGGAGCTTTCCTCCCTGCTCACCGCGCCTGGCGGATGGGGCGTGGGTCCAGTAGCCTCAACTGTGACCGCATCTCTCCAGCCGGCTGGGGGTGGGGTGGTAGGCACGGACGCGGCCCTCCCTGGACGCCCTCTGTGGGCCAGACCTTCCCGGGGGCCGGGGCGGGGCTAGGGCTGGGAACTCCAGGGCACTCCCGGTTCCTAGGGTAAGTTCTCACGGGCTGCGCTCTGTGCCAGGTGCTACTGTAGAGTATCCAGTGTCCCTGGAGCGGAGAAGGGGAAGGGATTAACGCTGGGGGCAGGGCGTCTTTGGAGACGCTGTGGACGAATTTTCGAGAGGGCATTCCTGCATTCCAGGTGGGGAAACGGTGTGAGCGAAGGCGTGGAGGTGAGGAGCCCTAGTGGGGCTTTATCCTAAAGGTGCTGGAGCTGCCGGGCCTGCCCTGACTACAACAGCGCCTGCCCCGCCTCGCACCAGGGCCTACTGGCCACTCCGTGGTACCTGTCCACAGCCTGTGTTGACTGACAATCGCTGGGCCCGATCTGGGGGCGGGAGCACTGAGGGGATCAGATGTACCCCCAAGGGAGTGTGCCAGGTGGTGGACACTGTGAGAACGCCAGGGAAGTACCCGCATGGAGAAGGTGAGATTGTGGGGAAAAGGGAGGGCCCTGTGGCCTGGTGATCAGGCATTTGGACGCCATCCCAAGGACAATGTGGCGCCAAAGTTTTGATGCCAGACTTGTTCAGACGAAGGCTTTAGAGAGTACTCAGGTGTCCACGCGGGTGGGTGGTAGAACTTGGTAGGGGTGGGCCTTGTGTCCAACCAGAGGCCCTGGGCTGGAGAGGTAGGGCAGAGGAGGACCTGAGGAGGGCAGATCTAGTGGGAACCAGGAGGAAGAGGGACTGTTGGTCACCTGTTTCCCAAAGAGTAGGTCACAGGCCTGCTCTCCCAGAAACTCCACCTACTTCCCTCTGCCCTCTGCCCTCTGGGGCTCTGGGGAATCCCCTTCCACAGGACTTCATCCCCTCCTGATTTTGCCTTTGTCCACATCTTGGCAAGTGACCCTTTATAAAAGTCATTTTTTCTATTTTTGCCTTTCTTCTGCCAGGACCTGGCCTTCCTCCAAGGGGAGGGGGAGGCAGGGATGATGCCCCCAGTTCTTCCTGGGCCTCCAGAGCCAGCTGTGTGGAGGTACTGGGCTGAGGTACCGGGGCCAGGGGAGCAGGTGTGGAGTCAGCAGTGGGGCCTTGGACAGGAGCTGGAGGCCTGAGTGGGCCAGTGGCATTTGGTCTCTCCAGCCAGGGAGCAGTGTTAGTACTGCCCAAGCACCGTGATGCTGGAAGCCCACAGGAATGGATCGTGGCTCTCTTGGGTGTACACCGAGAACCCACTGGGAGACCAGGAAAGGAAATGAGGGAGGGGGTGAGGCTCCAGTTCACCTAAGTTGGTCCAGACCTTACATGCAACCCCAGTAAAATTAGCTTCAGACAGTTTTATAAATACACAAAAATTTGCAGTGGCACATGCCTGTAATCCCAGCAGTTTGAGAGGCTGAGGCAAGTTCAAAGCCAGCCTCAGCAACAGCGAGGGACTGAGCAACTCAGTGAGACCCTGTCTCTAAATAAAATACAAAGTAGGGCTGGGGATGTGGGTCATGGTCAGTGCCCCTGAGTTCAATCCCCTGTATCTTCCCCAAAATTTAAAAAAAAAATGTAAACAAAAATTCTAAACTTCATGAAGAAATAAAGATGCAAAGATGACTGGTCTTGAAAGGACTGGAGTAGAGTTTCTCCAAAGAAGATACACAAACCACCAATAAGCACATGGAAATAATCTGACACCACTAATCATTAGGGAAATGCAAATCAAAACTACAAGGAGAAGGGCTGGGATTGTGGC